ACGTCTACACAATTCTTTCTGTAGGTCAGCTGATCAGAGGAACCTTTTATCAGTTACATAAGCTGGCCTTTCACCTGCAAAAGCATTTAGCAAATCACTAAATCAAACTATATAGATACATACTGCTACAGGGATGGTGCCAAAAGACACATGGTCACAGTATCATGAATTCTTCAGCTACGTAAAAAGTGTGCTGATTCTAAAAGGGCTAAACACTCTAGCGAAATACCATATAAACACAGTTCCACTCAGATAGAGAATAAAGCTGTTTAAAGTATCTTATATATCTTCATTGCTAGTATTTACAGCACACCAAAATCCAGTATGCCTATGAAGTGATGTAAACATAACCTAAGTCTTTGTAAACATAGATGCATCCTTGCTAAATTGATCCCACCTGACCGAGTCGGACAAATTCTGCTTGCCGAGCTTCTTCTTTTTTCCGTGTTGATTTCGGGGACTCTGGCAACACATCACTGAAAGACCTTCTATTAAGCATGTTCTAAAACAGAAAAAAATGCTTTTGTTTTAAAATTAAATCAGGTTTTCATATTTTTGAATAAAAAATTAGTCAATTTAATACAATACCATTTACATTGTCTGCTTTTCTTTTTATATACTTTCCTGTCATGATGAATCTAACTGTATTGCTTCTCAGAGAACAGTAATCACTATTTTTCAAATCATTGACTTCTTTACTTTCCTACTTGTCATCATTTACCACTTTCATATTATACAATTGCAACAAAGGTTGCAGACATAGAATCATAAAGGTTAGAAAAGACCTCCAAGATCATCTGGTCCAACCATCCTCCTACAACCAATATTACCCATTAAACCATGTTCCTAAGTACCACCTCTAACCTTTTCTTAAACACCCGCAGGCACAGTGACTCCAGAAGCTCCCTGGGCAACCCGTTCAAATGCCTAACCTCTCCTTCTGAGAAGAAATCTCCTAATTTCCAACCTGAACTTTCCCTGGCATAACTTGAGGCCATTCCCTCTCGTCCCTCTTGATCACTAGGTATCTGTGAGAAGAAGCTGACCCCTATCTCCCCAGAACGTCCTTTCAGGTAGTTGTAGAGAGCAGTAAGGTCTCCCCTGAACCTCCTCCAGACTAAACAACCCCAGTTCTCTCAGCTGCTCCTCATAAGACTTGTGTTCCAGACCCTTCACCAGCTTCATAGCCCTTCTCTGGATACACTCCAGGGTCTCAATGTCCTTCATGCAGTGCAGGACCCAAAATTGAACACAGTACTTGTAGTGCAGCCTCACCAGAGAAGAGTACAGGGGGACAAGCACCTCCCTGGTTCTGCTGGCCACACTACACCTGACACAAGCCAGGATGCCATTAGCCTTATTGGCCACCTGGGCACACTTCCAGCTCATGTCCAGGTGAGCACTGACCAACACCCCCAGATCTTTTTCCTCTGTGCAGCTTTCCAACCATTCTGCCCCAAGCCTGTAGCATTGTGTGAGGTTGTTGTGACCAAAGTGCAGGACTTGGCACTTAGCCATATTGAACCTCATCCCATTGGCCTCTGCCCATCAATCCAACCTGTCCAGGTTCCAGGCCTGCAGGGCCTTCCTACCCTCCAGCAGATCAACACTTACCCCCAATTTAGTATCGTCTGCAAACTTACTGAGGGGGCACTCAGTTCCTTTGTCCAAATCATCAACAAATGTATTAAAGAGGATGGGCCCCAACACCAACCCCGGGGAACATCACTCATGACTGGTTGCCAACTGGATTGCGTGGACACGCATGGACAGTCCTACCCTGAAAGGACAGCCTGTCAATTTTTATGTAACTGTAAAACAAACTATGTCACTATTAGTATTTAGCCTAGTGTACACAATCCAGTGCTCATCAGGATTACAGGCTTTTAAAGCAACAGAACATTCAGTGTCCTAGTGAAAGCAGAAGAGAACATATGAGAGGCACAGAGATCACTTCTGACTTTCTGACTTACATTTACCTTGTGTAGATCAGGCATCAGGTCCTGGTATAAAGAGCGGATCAGCATGTCTAGAGTGCGCTGACGTTTCTGAGAAAATGTTGGGGTTTCCAAGGTGGCTTTTTCACCATTTATTACTAAAATATAATGGAAAAGAAGATACGTTATTTTCATGTGCTTTGCTACTTTCCACTGACTCTATTTTGCCTCTATATAAATATAACCAGTTTTCCCATAGTAACTTAGTTTCATCTCTTTTTGCATTTTTTTTTAGTAAATAACAATCCCTCAACCCTAAAGGGAAATAAAGACTAATAGCAGTATTCTACAAGGCACCCCAATAACCTCCTAATATAAAAATTAAAGACAAACTACTAATCAGTTTAAGTCCTAAACCAATTTAAGTATTTGTTAGTAATGTGTGCAAAATAAGTTACTAGTAAAGTTCCTGTCAGGTAAGTGTGTAATTGTAATCCTTACGATTATGTTAGATGTCTGTTAATGAACTCCCAGTCAGGACAACGAGGCCAATGAAGCCTTACTTCCGCTGCTCAAAGACGTCTCAGGACAACAAAACCTTATCTTCAAGGGTAACTTCAATTACCCGGACACTTGTTGGGAACACAACGCAGCAGTGCACAGATCCTCCACCAGGTTCCTGGAATGCATTAAGGACTGCTTCCTGCTACACATGCTGGACATGCCAAAGGTGAACTAGGTTTACTGCCTGCAAACTGTGAACTTGACAACACAACTACCAATAGTAGCCTTGGATATAGAAATCCTAACACTGAAGTTTAAGAGCCTTTTGAGCACACTGAAGACCAGCTATAGGACAAAGATTCTGGATTTTAGAAGAGCCAAATTCAATATGAAGCATGCAAGGAGGGCAAAGGAGCTTGTGAGCACTGGGAGTTATTTGAGAACAACGTCCTGGAAGAACAAGAACAGACTATCCCCTACAAAGAGAAAGGATGAAGGCAGAACAGGAGACCACCCTGGCTTAACAATGAGCTTTTGGGTACACATAGGAGCAAAAAGAATTGTATCATCTATGGAAAAAAGGCTTCAATGAGTACACTGAGGACTACAAGAACCTTGCTAAGACCTATGCAGAGATGCAGGCAGGAAGGCTAAGGCTCAGGTAGAAATGAAATTGGCCCAAAACGTCAAGAACAAGAACGTACTCTTCAGATACACGAGCAACAAGCAGCAGCACAGTGAAGATGTAAGCCCATTGCTGAACAGGGCAAGGATACTAGTTACTAATAGTGCTGAACAGGCAGAGGCTCTCAATACCTTGTTTTCCTCTTTTTTTTTTTTTTTTTTTTTTTTTTTACCAGTGTAGCTTACAATCCAGATCACAGTATCAAGTAGCTCCAACAACACCTGTGTTGGAAGGGCTGGTCTGCAGCCATTATGCAGGGCATGCACTCATACAAATCTAGATGGAATCCACCACAATGTGTTAAGATGGCAAAATGTGGTGATTAATGGTTTTTACTCAATCTGGAAACCTGCCACAAGTGGGGTCCCCCAGGAACTGACACTAGGAACCACACTTTCAACATCTTCATAAATGATCTGGATCTTGTGTTTGAAAGCACCCTCACTATGTGTGCTGATGACACTACACTGAGTAGTGAGGTGGACACATCAGATGGGAGAATCATCTTACAGAGGAGAGTCAGAGGCTCTATGTCCAAGTAGAAGCCAGTGACGAGTGGTGTACCTCAGGGATCTGTCTTGGGACTGATACTGTTTAATATTTATATCAGTGACATAGACAGTGGGATTGAGTGCATCCTTAGCAAATTTGCTGATGACACCAAGCTCATTTATGCTTATATTTATATATTTATATATTTATATATTTATGTTTATATATTTATGTTTATATTTATATATTTATGTTTATATTTATATATTTATGTTTATATTTATATATTTATATTTAAAGAGCCTATCACCGTATTGATAAACACTCTTTGGGACCACTCTGATGGCAGGGGTAGTAACAAGAGTTGGCCTTTTAGTACCTCAGCACTTCTGATTCCAACCAATTTAAAAAAAAAAAAAAAGAATAAAAAGAAAAGGCTACAAGACTTTGCTGTAGAAGGAAAGGATGCCAGCCAGAGGGACCTGGACAGGCTGGAGAAGGGGGCGCATTTGAACCTAATGAAGTTTAACAAGTCCATGTGCAAGGTACTGCACCTGGTTTGGGGCAATCCTGGACATGAAGACAGAGTAGGAGAAGCACTCTTTGAGAGCAGTCCTGCAGAGAAGGGCTTGGGGGTTCTGGTGGATGAAAAGCTTGAAATGAGCCAGGAGTACATGCTTGCAGGCCAGAATGCAAACTGAATCCTGGGCTGCATCAACAGAGGAATGGCCAGCAGGTTAAGGGAGGGGATTGTCTCCCTCTATTCTGCCCTTCTAAGGCCCCACTTGAAGTAGTGCCTCCAGGTCTGGGCCCCCCAGAACAAGAAGGATGTTTATCTTTTAAGAGCGGGTCCAGAGGGGGGCTACAAAAGTGCTCAAGGGGATGAAACACTTCTCCTATGAAGAAAGGCTAAGAGAGCTGGGGCTTTTCAACCTACAGAAGAGAAGGCTCCGGGGTGACCCCATTGCAACCTTGCAGTACTTAAAGGGGACGTAGAAAAAAAGATGGGGAACAACTATTCTCAATCAGATAAAGACAGGATAAGGGGGAATGGCTTTAAACTAAAAGAGGTGAGATTTAGATTAAAGGTTAGGAGGAAATATTTCACTTGGAGGGTGGTGAGGCACTGGAACAGGTTGCCCAGAGAAGTTGTGAATGCCTCATCCTTGGTTCAAGACCAGATTGGACAAGGCCCTGAGCAACCTGATCTAGTGAGTGGTGTCCCTGCCTATGGCAGGGTGGTTGGAACTGGATGATCTTTGAGGTCCCTTCCAACCCAAGCCATTCTATGATTTCATTCTGTCATTCTGTTGATTACTATGTTGGACACTTCATATTTTGAGCTTCTTTTTTTTTTTATAAGCTATGTAGGCTTTGGCTGTAGCTCCATAGTGATCAGTGCAGTCTTTCTTCAGGGTATTGGTAATTCCCCTTCTTTCTTAATAACTGTAATAGCAATTCCAAGCTGTAAACTACTTAGTCATCCTAAGTTGTCCTTTCTTCTTAGGCTTTAGGTTATATATTAGTGACAAAAGCTTAATTTAACTAAAATACCTGTTTGTATTAGGCGCTGAAATTGAAAACCACTGTGAAAGGGGATACACCAGCTACCCTGGCAACCACAAGCTTTTCTAAAAAGGAGGTGAGTGAACCCATTTGTGTAAGGAGAGTTCAAAAAAAAAAAAAATGCAATTGAGCATGGCACTGTATATCGGTTGTATATGTTGTTTATTTACCTTTCTGATTAGATACTATAGCAGCAAAGTTGTAATGCATAGTGTTAAAGTGATTCTTCAGCCCATAGCAAACGAATAAAGGATGAGCCTGAAGGTAGTAGTACTTCTCATGCTAATGCAAGTCTGGATATTTTTATATCTGAGCATATTTCATGAAAAAAAAAATATTTTCCATAACCAATCATCTTTTGATTATTTTAACATCTTTATCAAATTTAAAGCAAAATTTAGTTGTGTTTTTATTTCCTGTAACTACATTTTTTTTACAAGGCATAGGAGTGAAAAATGTAAATTACACTTTTCTATGTACATCTTATATATAGAAGCTTCAGAAGTGCTTGTAGAATTTCAGACTTCAGCTTAATACTTAATATTAGAGAAGAGATGGGGGAGGGGACAGAATTTGGGAGGTAAGTACAGAGAACACATGACAAAAGAACAATTTGGGGGAAAGGTAGTTTTAGCAGTACCATGTCTAAATATCACAAATGAACCATGAAATGAAATCAAACTGTATATGCATGGAAGTGCATATATTTTAAGTCTGTATTTTAATTGTTTAATAACAAATTTCCAGGGTTACACTGAATATCAGCAGCTTGGGTTTTAATTCCAGTGTTCCAAGAGTGTATCTTATACTTATTAGTCTCCAAATCCAATTGGTAGGGAGAGTATTTCTCTGCAAGAAAATTAACTAGATTTTGATCTTTCAAATTCAAAAAATATACTTTTAAGAAATGTATCCTGCCAAAAGTATTTACGTGTTCTTACATGTCACTGTCTTATCTCATTCGTGTCTATATGGTCAGTATTTCTTAGTATAATTAATATGTATCCCTTATGTTACATCATAGCCTTGGGAGTCCCAATCTTTCTGCAGTAATTTTCCTCATGAGGTTGTCTGTGCAGATTCCTGGGGCCAGTCCTTGCTGGTTTCTACAGATGCTGGCATCTTGTTAATTGATGGTTAGTAAATGATGCTGTGTTCTTGTGTCAATTATTTATGTATCTGACCATTTTCTTCAAAATAAATGTTCATAAGCTCTGTTTAGGTAATTGGTAAGTCCTCACCTGCAAGGATAGTATCAATCCAAGTGGATCTATTACATTTATGTAATCTAGCTGCAGATTTTTTTCTCTGCATCAGAATCCTTATTTGGAGCCAATTTTCATGCAGATTTCTGAATGTTTTGTTATTTCAGATGCTGTTATCTTGACCATCTGAAAAGATTTATGAAGTCAAACCCAAACTCAAGGAGCGTCTGGATTTTTTAGCCCTTGATGATACTAATGAACATGAAGCACAAGGCTTATGTGGTGATGAAAGCCTGTTTCTTCCATAGCAGTGCTTTTACTAGTTTGACCTCTTGTATTCTGTGTGCCACATAAGGCCATTGGGACTAAGGGAATGAATTTAGTTCTCAGTGAAAATTTTCAGACTTTCGAAAGAAAGGTCCCTTTCAGGCTTCAGTTGCATAATTTCATCCATGGCAATGATAAAACACTCCTATAAGGAAGTACTGGTTATGGTGCTGCAGCATACATATGAGCTTTGTTGCAGGATGTTTCATTTTCGTGAGAAAAAACAAGACTTATTTTATTAGAAAGAAATAGTTCAGAACCATTGACTACCAAATTTTAACAGAATTTTAAAGAAATATATGTGTTTTCTTTTTTTAGATGGTCAGCCATCAGTTCAAGTATTTGATAAAACTCTCCAAATAAAGCAGATGCATGTGTTGGAAGCTCTGGATCTTTTGATTGCCCGTACAGACAAAGGTAGGAGAGGTCCTTGTTATTTGGTTCTCATATGAATGTCTGTTTAACTGTTTATTTGGCAGACATATCAGTAGAAGGGAATGCCTTAGGTGCTTTTCTTGAAGAGTTGTTTTTGTTTCTTAACTTGGAAGCATGCTGTAGAATTTTAATTCCCACAGCACTAGATTTATATAATCACCTTTTGTCACATCACATAGCTATCCTTAAATTGTTGTAATTAGGTTTTTGAGCTCTGAGTTTATTATTCTCCTTTTCAGATCTTTCCACTACTTTCCCTTTGCTGATTTCCTCTGGGCTGCTTACGTACATGCCCTATAGCTTTAGGGTTTATAAGTGTCTTGAGGTAATCATGTTCTTATCAGTGGCAAGTGCATTAGATGCCTCATTTAGAATAAGGGAGTGCATACAACAACTACTGTTTGTTAGCTTGTTTTTCTAAAAGGTGTGGAAAAAAATCTCTAGATGTTCAGAATCATGCTTCAGAGCAAACCTGACACTGGCCATATTGAATCATCAAATGGTTTTGGTTGGAAACAACTTTTCAAGACCTTTTAGTCCGACCTCCCTGCCATGGTCAGGTACATCTTTCAGTAGATGAGGTTGCCCAAAGCCTCATCCGGCCTGACTTTGAACACTTCAGGAGATGAGACATCCACATCTTCTCTGGGCAACCTGTTCCAGTGCCTCACCACTCTCATAGATTAGATAAAAGGAATAAATTCTTCGCTAGATCTACCGTCTTTCCATTTGAAACTATTACGCCTTGTGCTGTCACTACGTGCCCTTGTAAAATGTCTCTCTCTCTCTTTCTTATAAGCCTCCTTTAAGTATTGAAAGGCCACGATAAAGTCTCCTCAGAGCCTTCTTTTATCCAGGCTAAAAGAACACAGCTTTCTCAGCCTTTCTTGTAGGTGTTCCAGCCCTCTTATCATTTTTGTGACCCTTCTCTGGATCCACTTTAACAGGTCCATGACCTTCTTGTGCTGGGGGCACCTGAGCTGAGCACAGTACTCCAGGTTGTATCTCACAGGGGCAGTGTGGAGTGGGGGAGTATCACTTCCCTCGACCTTCTAGGCCACACTTCTTTTTGTGCAGCACAGGATATGATTAACTTTCTGGGCTGAAGGTAGACATTACTGGCTCGTGTCAGATTTGTCATCCACCAGTATATAGTTGGTCTCCAGCTGTTAGAACTCAACACTCTGGAAATCTCCCTAGCTGAATAATGTGTTTGTTCAGTTGTACAAAAACATGGAGGAAATTACTTATGCTGTCACGGTTCTACCAAATGTGTTACTGGTTTTTGTTCTGTGATTTTTAACCACGTTCTAGTGCTATAGATTATATTCTCTTGAATGTTCTGGTATAAAAACAAAAACTTAAAACCTGTCTGTCCAAACAACTTTTTTTTTTTTTTAAAAAAAAAAAGGATTAAATGTCCCTAAAATACGCACTTTTTCAGATAGGTACTTTTTACCCAAAAGTCTATGAATTGAATACTCACAGTGCAAGAACAGGATCTGTATGTGTCACACAGATAAAATAATTAGAAATCTGGTTGTTTTATTGTTTTTTTACCACATTATATCTGTTTGCTCAATATCAGCTGAAGTGACATTTACCCAAACTAAGGGTAAAATGTGGTTCTTTTCATATCATTGGGAGTTGCCCATTTTGGCTGGACCTGATGAAATTCATCCTGAAACCCTTGCAGAACCAGCTGAGATTACCTGAGAGGCATTTGCAGTCATCTCTGAAGACACCTGGCGGGTGGGTGACATTTTTGAAGGTCTGAAAAGGGTAGTTGTATCTGAAGCTTAGTTTATGAAGCTTCTAGAATAGATAATTGCATTTAATAGTCAAAACACTGTAATGATTGGTTAAACCTGAAGAGAGAGATGTTACAAGCCATTTTGAGGTAACAGGATTAGGCATTACTGGCATCAATTCATGATGCTTCGAGCATATTTTGATAAAGACTTTTTGTGTAAAAAGTTGAAGAGATTTTTGACTGCAGTTGTGGGTGCTTTCTGAATCGTTTAGAGGAGAGAAAGGTCTTCTGTTCTTGCTAGTATCCTTGCCTCTTGTTTTGTATTTGTATACCATAGTGAAACTGAGATCTGGAGTGGAAGTTATCGTTGCCCTTTATTTTCAGACTATGCCTTAGTCTAGTTTTCCACATGGTTTTCTGGAGACCCTCTTCCTATCCCCATGGTGACTGATGTTGGCTGATAAAGGAAAATGAGAAAAATAATGAGTTAGATGGGTAAAAGCAATCTTATATTGGGTGTACAAATTGGTATTAAAGACTATATGGGTTTTTAGGATATAATAATATGTTACAAGGTTAATTTTGTATGTACTTTAAATGTGTCCTTCTGATGTACTTCAAGTGCATCGATGTAGAACTGGTCTTTTAAGACTCAAGCAGGAAGACTGATGTTTGTGTTATGAAAATGTTCACATAGAATGTGGTATTATCCAGCACTCAGTTCTAACAACCAGGTTTGAGATCACTTTAAGGCAGCTCATTTCAGAAAAAAATCCTGTTTCCACTGCTTTCTAGTACCCTCTGTATTTCTGGGAGAGAGGAAATGTTAACAGTGAAACTAGACCTGAAGATAATGCTATCAATGAGATTTTTCAGGTCAACATACCAAAAGAAGGGGATATTTCAGGCACCAACAATACATCTGGTATTAATGACAGATGCAGAAATTGCTTTGGTAGCAGTGCTCTCTTTTCTAATGTTGATTAAATTTGTCTTAGTAATGAGAGATGAGTTATAGAAGTGGATCCACTTTGTCCTCCAAACATGTTTGTTTATTTTTTTGCTACAACTTATTTTGTGAAACACCTAGACATGGCGAGGGGGAAGGAGGAAGAGCTCCTTCACTTGGAATAATCAAGTCTGTAGGAGGTGAAGAAAAACTCTCTTAAAAAAAAACGACACCAAAGAAAAGCTTGGATGATAGTCAGTTTCATGAGCAGCTACAGATATATGTAACACCGCAGTGGGGTTATTTGGGACATTTGCAAAACAACTAGTATCCTGAAAGAGGAACGCATTGAGGAGTGCTATCTCTAGGATGCATCCTATAGGACACACCTGACAAAGAGACAGAGCTGAATTAATGAGTAGTAAGGCTGTTCCTGAACATTTGATTTAACTTATGTTTTCTGGCCTTCCTTTCAAAAGGGTGAATTTTGCTTGTCATTCTTCCTCCATGAACTCATTCATGGAAGCACACATTCTTGTGTGTACATTCTTGAAAAGAGAGAGATTGCATATATTTTATTTTCCTTTTATCGATGTTGACAGTGAGAATTTGCTGGTTGATCAGTGTTTCAAGTTGTGGTGGACTTAAGGATACATTGCATCTTCTTTTCTCTTACACTTTTTATGGGAAAAGAAGGTCATAAAGGTTCCAGAAGCTGCCCTGATTCATGTTTATCTATTATCAGAATTGAAGGCAGCACATGTGATCTTGCTTTTGTATTTACAGATGGAACCACACTGACTATATATTAAGAAAGTGTGCTTATGTTTCCAGCTATACCAGCTAGACTAGTAAGAGAGTGTACCTTTGTCAGAAAATCTTGCTTTACTTGCATTTTAAGAAACTTGGCTTTTAGTTAGGAAACTACTCTTAACAATAGCTTATTTCCAACTGCAAATAGTAGTGTATCATTTATTTATTTATTTATTTTAAATTTCAGAGTTGTGTATTCCACTCATGTCTCTCTTTGTGGAAAAAACATTTAGCCGTGGTGGTGGGTGCTGTGCTATTTTTGCAGTTGGAAATATGCCTTGAACCTAACTTGCCTAACTTTGAAGAACTGATAAGCAAAAACAGTCCACATCCAAAAGGTTTTCAGATTCTGTTAAGGATCCAGGTATCAGCTGCTAGGCTGAATGGTTCCAGAATTTAAAGTTAACCTTTCTTCTCTTGCCTTTAGTTTGTATCTGTCGTATTTTGACCATCTTCTAGCAGTGTAGGTTTCACTGTTTTGAGGCTCCTATTATTTATTGCTGCAGCACCATCTGATGGGAAACTTTGCTAGTGAACTGAAAGGGTTGCTTACTGGAATTGTAGAGTCTAGATAGAGTTCACAAGCAGTCTTCCTGTCACATTGCTGCTTACACTCAGAGAAGCAAAATTGTTTAACTTTGCTTTTATGGCAATGCTCTGTCTGTTAGGTGCTTCATCTCTTTGGAAGTATTAATTTCAAACCACCACTGTCTTTTTCTAATTTGCTGTTTCCTGACTTTCTCCATCTTCAGGAAAAGACTCTCGTCTCCTTGTCTTCAGATTGAGTGCTGTCCAAAAAGATATAGAAACAAAGCAGATGATAAGAAGCAAATATGACTGCAGAGAAAATAAATTGGAGAGAACAAAAGGTGGCTTTATTATCTTGTATTAAACGTGTCCACTGTGGTATTGTGCCAGTAGTTGCCAGGGTTTATTAGCTCCCTTGAGGCTGTTGTAGGTATTCACCTTTAGTTTTATCTCTGGGCAGTTAATTCAAACTTCAAACTTATGCGTGAAAACAACATAGGGTACAGTCCAGCCTATCATTTGAGAACTTGGTAAAAAATAAAAATAAAAAAAAAATACCATGTTACTTGGCAATCACTGCTGATGAAAAGCTCTGGTGAAAAAGAGATATGTCGCTTTCAGGATTGTGGGGTATAAGAAAAATTATGCATGGATGTAAGACTGAAATAAAGGTCACTGTGAGGTAGAAGAACAATGGCAAATCTTTTTTTAATTAGTAGTGCTTAGAATAGTTTGAGTATTGCAGATTATTTTAGTAGATGTAAACATTTTCCGATATTCAGCATCAAGCTTCCTTGGAAAGCTGGAAACTGCAGAATAGTAAAGAAAAAAATATATATTTACTCTTTTACTTGCAAAAGGAGTAGGGGGGAAAATAGTTTTCAAAAGAGTTACAGCCTTTTGTCTTTTTCTAGAATTTAATATTATCCTGTTGGGATGTTTGTAATTGTGTGGTGCTCAGGTATCAGATACCCATTGTACTAACCATCATACAAATACAGAACAAAAACAAAAAAAAAAACAGTCCTTCCCCAAATACTTACAACCTAAATTGTTTTTTTTTCTTAGGCTGCCATTTGTATGCCATTAATACTCACCATGGCAGTGAACTGAGGATTGTTGTGGCTATTCGGAACAAACTACTTCTCATCACAAAGAAATACAATCCATGCAACAGTTTAACCAGCAGCTCTCTGCTGTCATTACCTGAATCTCCAGTAGACGAGTTCCAGTACATCCGGGTATGTGTCACTAATCACTAATCACTTTTACAGACTGGGCAGCACTCAGCTAGTGGAGGGAAAAAGGCAAAGAGCGTGCATTTTACCATCTGGAACCTCCAGACAGATGTAAGTGAGAAGCAATATGATGGAGATCCATCATTTATATGCCAAAGAAATATTTCAGACTTCTTAAATTGTCATCTTGTTCTGTATCATGCTTCTCTGCTTAGATTACATCCTTGTAAATTCATGGAGTAATGCAGTATTCACACTAAGAGCCTGAAAAATAGAATAATACTATTATTTATCTCATAGGAAATATGCCTTTCTGACCCTCCAGTGGTTATGACACTGGTGGATGGACCTACTGGAGACAGTGACAATATGATCTGTGTGGCATATCGGCATCAGTTTGATTTAGTTAATGAAAGTACCGGGGAGTCCTATAGACTGCATCATGTTGAAGCAAACAAAGTAAGTTTCTAGCATTGAAACTATTTTCTTGCAGAATTGGTCCATGCTGTGCTGACCTCCTGGGAGCAGCATTTATGGAGATCCTCTCATCTCCTTTACTTTTGACTTTTTTAACTTCTACTTTAGAGTACTCGGAGGCGTTTTTTCCTTTTGGAATGTGTGATAATAACCACTCCTAAGAGAGGTAGTTATAAGGTATGACATATTAGGAAAGAGCCTGTGTTTCAAGCTCTGGAATATTGCTGTCAGTATAAATGCAAAGCCATTTTTTCTCCTTTCTTAGACAATATTTTGATTTTTGTCTTTTCTTCATGGTCTCAGTGTTTTATTCTTTAGGATGTTGCAGCAAAATAATTCCAGGTTTTGGCCACCATTATCTCATTCTGATTTGTCTATTTGCATGTACTAAAACTGAAATATTTGTGTATATCTTTTACTTCTAAACTGCTGCCCAGCCAAGTAATACATTAACTGTACCTTACTAACTGGGACATAGGGTTGGGATTTAAGTAAACATCCTCATTTTTGGAAAAGGGTTCAAATGTTTCCTGTTGCTGGGAAGATAATGATCTTCAGCATTTTGAAAATCAGATAATTTCAATAATTTCTTAATAGAGACGTGAATGTATAGCTTTAAGCGTAATTTTAAAAAAAGAACCTTTTACATGGTTGCTCTTGTGTTCTGTTGACTTCTATGCTCATAATGGTATAAGGGATGTCTCTTTTGATTTGATGCTTCTTGTTGATTTTTTTTTTTTTTAATCTGTATTTTCATTCAGATTTGATGATGAAGAGGGTTGGTACTCCTAGCATTGGCAATACAGTGTTAAGATTCTCCACAGCAATGGGAATCTATTTTAGTCTGGATTAAGAAGAAAATACAATTAAAGAATGTGGACAGTCAAGAATCGCCCCCCTCTGTTCTCTTCCCCAGTAGCCCTTATTTCCTTTGAGAACATAGACAAAGCAGGAAGTTAATTAGATCTGTGCCAGTGATTTTTGTGTTGTTGAAATTGGTTACCAAATTATTTCCACAGGTCACAAAGCAGAAATGTCTTTCAGTTGCTACAAAGGATGGGTCAAAATGTGTTTTGTATAGATATATATAAGCTTCCAGGTCTGTTTAACAGTTCTTGCTTTATATTTGTCTTAAATCAAGAGAACATCTACTTTATTGCACAAAGGAAAGCCATGAAGTTCATGAAGTCAATCTCCAGCCCTGCCCAAGTTGCAAATAGTGTGGTCTAGGAGACATTTGTCTAATCCAGTCTTAAGTATTTCATCAGGGAGGTCTCCTTTTCTGAATGTATATACTACTACTTATGGGTGTCTTGTTTTTCTTTTAATTTAACTGTAAAAGACAAATACAGGATTAACGTATGAGAATATAAGTAGCCTATGCTATGCAAAAAACATTTCAGTTTATCCAGCAGTGGTTTTCAGTTTCTAAATTCAGCTTATTCAGTAATTCTTGAAGTACATCCACGTCAGTCAATGTACATGTTAGTGGTTTTGATCCAGTAATTGGCACTTTTGATCTTTCTGCTAGTCATGATTTTCAGTCAAGCTTTTTAGATTTCACTTTTTGGAAAGAATTGCTATTTTTAGCATAGCATGTTAGTTCAAAGCTATACTGAAATAACTCAGTTTCCCAAAATTTATATTGTCAAGTAAGTTAGGTATGTTTGTATCATTTTATACTGTAGGTATGTATTTATACTGAAGGTACAGAATTGAATATGCATTACTGAAATACAGCATTGAATACAAAAGAAATTGATTTCCATCCTATCGGCATCCTGAAAATGAATCACAAAAGACAAATAGTGTTTTGTTTTGTTTTGTTTTTTTTCTTTTATCTGTAATTGTGCACCAACTGATTTGATTGCTTCTTAGTCAAAACCTGGTCATAGTAACATCAGTATCCTATCTGCCTGATCATTACCCTTTCCTGTTATCATTGCAGGTAAATTTTGTTGCAGCTATTGATGTATATGAAGATGGTGAAGCTGGCCTACTGTTATGTTATAACTGTAAGTAGTTAGGGAAGACTGGAAATAATAATATCTCAATATGTAATTCTTTCTTCATTGGAGTTTAGATCTGTATTTTAAAGTTTCAGTGTTTCATGGAAAGTATTTCAAAATACATTTTTTTTTTCAATTTAAGTGCATGTTAGAAGGACTAGAAATGGAAGTATTGTTTCATTGTGGTGTGTGTAATTGGACAGACATTACCACCTTACTCACAAAAGTCCTATTACTTCAGATCTATCTTATTCTTTGCCTAGTCTCACTCTGGGTGTTTCTAGGACATGTACAAATTTGTATTCCACCCCTTTTCTTCTTTGTGCTTTCCCATTCTGTTATTGTGCTTTCTTTCCTTCTGCACACTTCTTTATGCTGGCACATTTTAAAATTATAATTCTCTTAATCTCTTTTTATAAAACGGCCTTGGATTTAATATGCATATGCTTTTCTGTGCTGTACATGTGTAGTTTTGCTTTCAGTCCTCAGGAAAATCAAAGTTATGAGTATGAAACGTCCTTTATGAGGTGATGCTGAAGGACAAAGCACAACTTTCTGTTTCAGATGGCATGTCTTATTTGCCTTTCCAAAGAGAGCATTGATGGAAACAATATAAATACATCTACGTATTCTAGCATTGGCCGTTAGATTGGTACCACAGGGAAAAAGTCTCTAAAGCGTATCTTTCTATGCCCTGTGAGGCCTCATTGGTTTTGGTAGTTTAACAAATCCTACCTAGTTCTGGTTCACTCAGTACTGCTTCAGAACTAAAAGGTCTGAGACAGAGTAGTGTGAATTCCCAAACCTGTACTTCTGTGCAGAATCAGTTCTACTCTAATAGGCTCGTCACAGAGCCAAAGCTAACAAACTTGTTTGATCCTAAGGTCCTAAAGCCTGTTGCACAGGGTTGCAGCAACTTGAATCCCTATTTGTAGGGCCCTGTCACAGGGAAACCTCTTTTGGTCTTGTGACAGTTTTAAAATTATGAAAGTATCATCGTGGAACAAGTATGAAAACACATGATTTGACAGTGTTCTAAGTTTGGATTTCAAACAAGACCTTTTTTTTTACTCTTGTGGATATAAAGTTAGTTTAAGTTTAAGGACACCAATTACAGAAAGAAAAAAAAAAAAAAAAAGGATTTTACCTAAAAATAGAGAAGTAGTAGATTCACAAGTTATATGGTTAATGAAATCTTGGTATTTGTAGTATCCCATGTGTATTACAATCCTCAAAGAACACAAACTGTGCTAGTATGTGGCTGCTTGAAGGGTAGTTCTTACAGTCAGAGAGGTACAGCTCTGCTTACATCACTTTCAGAAAAGTTCTTAACTATTCCTCTATCCATAGATAAAGTAAGGAGCTGATGATTGCTGAAACAGAACAATACTTACTTTGTGAAATCTGACAAGTTATTAAAATGTAGCTCTATTATTTTTATCTTGTAAATATATTCACAAAGGAAGCACGTTTCCCTTATGGCCTGTTTAGATATAGAGGGACTTCTACATAAGTGTTTGATATTTATCTGTGTATTATCCACACTTCTGTAAAATCTACCTATAATGTTGGTGTTTGTCATTTTATGCTGTGAGATATTGGAGGTTTCTTTTTTTCCTTTTTTTGTTACAGATGTTTGCCAATATAGAAAGGTGTATCCTTTTAATGGAGGTTCTCCACTCGTCCAGTCATCGGCTTACGACTTTCACTTTAGCTGGAATCAAGTTCCTTATGCTGTTGGTAAGAACATACCTCTTTTTACCCTTTTTTCATTACTATTTAGGCTTGCACTTGGCTGTTGGTGGAATTGCAGCATGTGTGCTAGGAATATATAAGAATAAATATAAAATTAAAAATAATTTAACATACATAAATCTATATGTAATATATTAAAATTTAATAAATATGGGTTAATAAATTCCTATAAATAAGAATTTCTTCATGGAGAAGGTGGTTAACCATTAGAATGGACTGCCCAGGGAAGTGGTGGAATCCCTATCCCTGGAGAGGTGTTGACATAACACCAAGGGACATAGTGATGGAACTTGGTAGGTCAGTTTGATTGTTGAACTTGAAGGTTTTTTCCAACCTAGATGATTCTGTGATTCTGTAAGCGTGTTGCATTCATGATGCCACTTCAGCTAAGATTCTGCATATGGTATCTTTGATAAGTGGAGCCTTGGGGCCAAGTTTTTCCTCTGATAATTTTTTTTTTCTCTATCTTTTTTCTGTTTTTTATTTTCCATTCAGTTTATATTCTGCCAGGCATAGAAAGTGAAGTTTTCTTCAGGCTTGTTGTATCTGAATGTCCATCAGTACAGTAGACAAATCTTGTCATAGGAAAGGGAGATACCAGAGTAGGTCAGATGCTCAAGAACTGTTTTCAGGGAGCATCTGAGAAACATTTACATTAATCATTCTTCCTTGCAAAATAATTTTTGTTTCATTGCAGTCTGTGCTTTCCCTTATATCCTTGCGTTCACTACTGATTCCATTGAGATCCGATTAGTGGTGAATGGAAACTTAGTCCACACAGCAGTTGTGCCTGAGCTTCAGCTTGTAGCATCAAGGGTAAGACACAAGAAAAGCATGTTTGACTATTTGTGAGGTGTTGGGACCTAATTCACATAAAGAGTTGCTGAAGCCCAAACTAAACCAAAACTGACACATTTTCTGATTTGCATTAACTGTTAATTTGTGTGCTCTTAGCTTGTAGTGAGTACAGTGAGAATCAGAATTGATCTAACTGTCCTTTATTACTTGCAGTAATGCAGAGCTGAAGTATTTGATTATTTACAGGGCAAATGCTCTTCTGAACATCACAGAAGTTTTCCCCATTTACAGTGAGATAGCCTTTCTGTGGCCAGCTGTAGTTAACTTAGCAGCAATACAGTAACAGTGGTAATAGAACATAGTGGACAAACATTTGAGCTCTTATTCAGCAAGTGTTTAAGAAAGTTTTGCTGTACTAATGATGAGTTCTTTGTGATTTCAGTCAGATATTTATTTTAAAGCTACTGCTGCAGTAACGGGATCATCTCATAGCAGTTCTAAGGAAATGAGTTCAAGTTCTCCTCAAACACCGACAGCTTATGAAATACCAGAATGTCCTCTTTCTTCAGAAGGTAACATGGTTTCCAGGCTGCTTGAAGCTTTGATTATTATCTTTAGTAAAAATGAAATCAATCAGTTAAAAGATTTTGTTTTCATGGCTGAGAGTCTGGAAGATGGAAACCTTATCCATAGATCTGAAACACCTGGCTGAGCTTTTGCCCCATAGTATCTCTTCTGAATGCACAGCAGCACTGTTTTTGAAGAAATCATGTCTGTAGGAGAGGAAGAATTAAGCTTCACTAGCTTAGTGAGTCTTTGGCAATATGGCCAAGACTATAAAGCAAAAAGAGGTATAAAATTGTGGGAAAACTTTCAGACTTCATGTATGCCATTCCTTTCATTTATGAACAGCTAAACTATCTATGGCTAATTAAACTAATGCAAACTAAGGGCAAGAAGTATTTCTAGTCTCAAAAGAGTTAATAAATTTAAAGTTAAAAAATGCACAGTAAATTTGGTGTAACATGATATGTGAACAATTGATCTACAAGGGATAAATAATGGAGAAACAAAGGAACATCAACTAGATAATGCAAGATGTATGTAGATCTTGTTCATTTAGATGTATTTAAATCTGCTGCAGAAGGGGAAAAGAGAAAGGAATCTGAATTTCTGTTTTTAAGACAGGCAATATGCTTTTTCTCAGTAAGCCAAGTTGTCAGTCTGCAAAATGTGGCCGTATTTCTTCCTCCTCCTAGCCTATTTATAGTGAAAGATACAGCACAAGGAAGATCTTTGTTACCTGGGTTAAAAAGCACCCCACATAATGTTTATAACTTTTCTGTATAACTTTTCATTGGAAGTATTTAGAACTGATACTGGTATGAAAGTGTAACATTCTTTTTTCCTTCTGCATTTCAGGTGAAGTTCCAGGCAAAAACCTGTACAAAATTCCTCTCAGTAATCTGGTTGGGCGAAGCATTGAACGACCTCTGAAGTCACCTTTGACTCCCAAAGTCATCACTACTCCAACATCTAGTGGTGTTACCTCTCTTCCTGTTACTCACTCACTATCCTTATCTCGTATGGAAATTAAAGAAATTGCAAGCAGAACACGTAAAGAATTGCTAGGTAAACTTCCCTTGTCTTCTGTATATATATATACCAATTACCAAGTATGTAATTTCTATTTTTTGGACAGTCACAGTCAGATTAGTGATATGCAACCAGTGTTCATAAGTAATTAATACAACGAAACAAATAAACCAGTGTGAAAATGTTATTTGCAAGTACTCTAGATAGCATCTCGTCAAATTATGTCCACATGGAGGCTGGTGACGATTGGTGTCCCTCAGAGGGGTCTGTCTTGGAACCAGTACTGTTTAATATCTTTATCAGTGTACATAGAAAATGGGATTGAGTGCACCCTTAGCAAAATTGCAGATGACACCAAGCTGAGTGGTGCAGTTGATACCAAAGAAGGAAGAGATGCCATTCAAAGGGATTTGGACAGGCTGGAGAAGTGGGCCCACAGGAACCTAATGAGGTTCTACTAATCCAAGTGCAAGGTGCTGCACCTGGGTCAGGGAAATCCCAGACATGAGGACAGACTAGGAGAAGCACTCATTGAGAGCGGACCTGCAGAGAAGGACTTGGGAGTTGTGGTGGACAAAAGGCTCGACATGAACCAGCAGTGTGCACTTGCAGGCCAAAAGGCCAACTGCATCCTGGGCTGAATCAACAGAGGAGTGGCCAGCCAGTTAAGGGAGGGGATTGTCCCCCCTCTACTCCGCCCTTCTGAGGCCTCACTTGGAGTATTGCATCCAGGTCTGGACCCCCAGCACAAGAAAGATTTGGACCTGTTAGTGCGAGTACAGAGAAGGGGCTACAAAGATGATCAGAGAACTGGAGCACCCCTCCTGTGAAGAAAGGCTGAGAGAGCTGGGACTGTTCAGCCTGGAGGAGAGAAGGTTACAGGGAGGACCTCACCATGACCTTTCAATAATTAAAGGAGTCTTGTAAAACAGATGGAGAAGGACTCTTTACTCGGATAGATAATGATAGGATGTGGGAAGTGGTCTTAAACTAAAAGAAGATAGATTTAGACTAGACTAGGAGGAAATGCTTCACTGTAAGGGTAGTGAGGCACTGGAACATGTTGCCAAGAGAAGTCGATGCCTCATAACTGGAGGTGTTCAAGGCAAGGCTGGATGGGGCTTTGGCCAACCTGATCTAGTGGGTAGCATCCCTATTTATGGCAGGGGGGTTGGAGTTAGATGATCTTTAAGATCCCTTGTGACACAAGCCATTCTGTGATGATTCTATTATAAGGTAACCATATTCTAAGCCAGCTAGGAACTTTTTAGTTAGTAATGAAAACCATCAAGAGAGATCACAATGTTTTTTGTGAACGTTTTATTTCCTTTTGAGAGTATTAAGACTTTTATTCCTTTATTGAGGCCTTTTGGATGAACCTATTCCCAAGACAGAAGGTGCACAGAAGCAAAAAAAGGCTCCTCGAAGACAGTCAGATCCCAAGCAGGGAGCGGTAAGATCAACTAGTAGTGACAGGTAAATATATGGGCTTTAGAAAATAACCTAAGTTAAGCTGTAAGTATTTTGGGAATTGATTGTCTCTCAACCTTTTTATTCTAATCTTAGTTTGGTATAGACTGACTGAGGCCCTTGTATATTACTGTGAATTTCATCCTACTGTGTATTAGAGTATCTAAATATTATCAGTACTGAAATGGTTATACCTCTTGCTAAAGATATGTTATGAGCAAAGCAAGACTAAATGGGACTTTGTGGGGACCTGGTGCACTTGAGAACAGTCAGCAGGCCTACAGCGTCTGCACTGTGCAGACTCACTTGCTATTTTCTTCATATCCTTGTGTCTCGTTATCTCCAAAATAAATTTTGTAAAGAAACACTATTGCATATGTCTGTTTGTATCTGCCTATCAGACCCCCTGCCATTGTGTTTTTTTCATTGTTTTTATAACCTGCATTTGTGATAAGTAGCAGCAGAATTCAGCCAAGATACAGTAGATTATTTTTTTTCAATCCACTGCAATGTAAAACTTTATTATATTTATTCCACTATTGGAAAATTATATGGAGGGGAGCATTCATTAACATTACCTTCGGGCAATAATCTGATGTATGTAATCTCTGTTTTAATATGAGTTGTTATCAAGGCTCTGGTTCAGTGCTAGCCTGGTGTGGAAGCAGAGTAAAACAGAGAGAAATTCAGTTTTAATGGTTTGTCTCTGCCTTTAGGATAACTTGATTGTATGCAGAAATAGCCACTGACCCTGCTTGCCCTTACCTGTGTATTGTTTCTTAGTAACTTTTGTCTTCATCTTTGCAGAATAATCTCAGCCTCTTTTGAAAGCTTTTCTGAGAGTCGTCATCTTTCCACTAGTTCAGATCCTGATACTGTAGCAAACAGAGAGGAGAGCTCACCATCTAGCTATCCGTTCCATCTGACTTCTTTATACGATGAGGACATCATTGACTTGAAGTGAAGACAGACAGACTGTTCCTTACTTCACCTTTTCTTACACATCTGTGAGCTCTGTAGGAATGTCACAAACACTGCTTCTAGTGGTAAAATGTGGCTGGAAGTATTGGTGATTAATCTTTATAGATCCCATGTTATTCTGGCTTGCTTAGCCTGATTTGGTGATGCTTACATCTTTGACATATGTATATTTTCTTATCTCGGTTCATGAAACATTACTTTTTGTGGCATTCTAAAGGTAGGTAATCAATGAGAGCTTCAGGCTGAAAATGAAGTAAAAAGTATTATTTATTCTGAGCTTCTTATAATTGAAGTACCTGAATGAAAGTGGCATTCAGTTAATTGCTGTTACTAATATCTTGAGCTGTTTTACAAGTGTGCACCGTGTAGAAAGAAGAAATTGATGATGTAAATCACTCATTTTGTTTTTTCTTAAAAAAAAAAAAAAAAAAAAAGCTTTTAGACAAGGTCTTTCCAGACAACGCAAGTGCAGTCTGTCCTTGAAATGATGGAGCTGTGTTTTATTCACTGAGGAATGATGGTTACTCTATAAAGATCAGGTAACACGAACGTGCAGTTTTCTTTTCTCTGACCTGTCCTTGCACTTTTTTTTTTTTTTTTTTTTAAGAGAAACTTGAAAACTGTTTTGGCATTAAGAATCTTTGAGTAGAAGGACTTTTTATAAGAAAATACAAGCTTTCAAATCTTCCATAAAATTGGAAGTAAAAAATACATTGTATTTCTCCACAAAGGGAATGCTGTTTCTGTAGTGCAACTGCAGATTTCATTACAGGCAGAAGCCCATGCCCTGATTTTCTTTCTGACTACACAAAGATTCCTGTGCTGGCATCAGAATTAATTGTTGTCTGCTTTTACACCAACAATAGAATTCGTTGCTCCAAGTAAACATATTTTTCTAAATGGACCAGGCTGAAGTTTTACTGCCAAGAAACTAGTTTTCTATGATGAAATAGTCATATTAGATCTTTTGTTTTGTTAAAGGACAGTATTTCATCATTAAAGCTTGATTTTTTTTTTAACCCTTTCCTCCATGCCAAAAATCAATTTTCTACAATGTTTTGAACGGGTTTGCTGTTTTTCATGGAAAAGTGATGCTTCCAGGCTTTTTATATATGAAGGAACTTTATTAAAGCCCTATTTATGGGCTTTATTAGGGTATTTCTTGCTCTTTATGTAGAAATATTTCTGTATCCTTGATTTATTTTGTAATACCATTTATGTGTCATGATTTCCCCTGTCCAAGCACGACATCTGGTGATTTGTGCCTTTTGCTTCAGTCTGTCTGAATGTAAAACTTTTTTTTTTTTTTTTGCAAAGTTTAATGGTATATGATGACTTTATTTCTCCGTCTAAGAAAATATGCAAGGCCTTAACTGAAAGGATTACTTCTTATTCACAGTCAGAGCGGCTGATCAAGAAAAGAAGCAATATTTTAAACATTAATTAGTACAGAAACAGAAGCAGTATTAACCAGTGGCTACTTGTACTTTAGTATTTTTGCACCTAAATATGTATGGAGTGAACCTTCGTAAACACCTGGAAGTGCCACCTCAGAGTCTTTGCAAGAACTTGTAATTCTTTTTGAGAATGTCTTGGGGGGAGGAGGGAGGAACAGTATCCATTTTCTCTGTTCTACATACCTGGTTAGCTATGGTTTAAAAAAAAAAACACTCTCAAAGTATTGTGTAGTCACTTGTAGTATTGTGTAACCACTTGTGTGGACTCATCAAATCAATTTTAGGGGAAGCACTGTTTGGGCTTGGGTATTTTTAGAAAGCAGAAGCATCACCTTTTTCCATAAACACGTTTCTCAGTGTAGTATTTTTATTTCTGTTGTGTGGGTGTTTTTGAAGACTACTAGTGTGCTGCAAAACTCAGGCTTTAATTTCAATTTAATAAAATTTGAACTGGAAAGTTTTTTTTGAACTTTTAGAATATCAGATTTTAAATGTATTGCAGAGGTTCACTTCTGCTATTCTAGCATGATTTCACATGATTAAATGATAGTTTGATAGTAGTTGAATACACGTGTATACATATGTTGATTAGAAAACTTGTTTGAAGAACCTGAACAAACACATATTTAGGTATCCTGAAAGACATAGAAAGACCTTTTAGATGGAGCAGTAGAGAGATCAAGAAGAATGGAGAAAGTTTGACTATAACTGACCTAGGGTGATAGGATGAAAAACCACAGCAGTGGCAATAAAGTATTGCTATGAAGTCTGTGTGGAGTTCTGCCTGTAATAGCATTGATGACATCTAGCAAATACTAACAAGCAGCAAAAGTACTGTAAGGAATACAGCAAAAGTCTGACTGCTTAAGCTAGTTGAAAAAGAAAAAAGAAAAAAAAAAAAAAGGATCAGACTAGCTTCATGGTATTTATTTTATCTGGAACAGGATGTTGGAAGAGTTTGAGGAGGGAGGAAGCATAGATCCCATATCAATTGGCTTGTCTCTCCCCTCCAGTCTGAATTTTATGGTATAGTGTAATGTGTCTGATGCAAACTGTTATGCAGGTCACATTGGGAACTACCAGACCTAAAATAATATTACTCATACAGGACAGGCAGGATCTGAACACTGGAGAAAATGACCTGTCTTCATTCCTTAGGTATGCAGTAAGTGCCTTAACAGTGCTGTCACTTCTTGAGTATTTACTTCTGCGGTCAACCAGCATGTCATGCAGGCATGGAGGAATAATATTAGACCTAGCAAAAGGAGGTGAAGGAGGGATCATGCAAAATTATTTTGTTTTATGACTCCTAGGTATGGTAACTGAGGCTTTAGGATCATGTATGTGTAGTTTACTCTCTACTTACCATACAAGAGCAGCCTGGAGTGTAGGTAGAAGGCAGGGAACATGGCAGTTATGCTTGAGTTTTGTTTGACACAAGCCACAAGAACCAAAGTGTGTAAAGTTCTTTTTCACATTTGTCTTATCTAAAAGACAAAGTACCATACAATAATATGAAACTGCTGGGAAAACTGGACAAATAGCCACTATACAAGTAGTCTTTGTCAGACTGTGGCATGAATTACATGCATCTTAGTGTGATGAGACATTGTTCTCTGAACTAGCTTCTAGACATTGACTGTCTAAAAGTAGTGTCTTAGATCCATTCTATTCAGGCTCTTGATCAAAACAAAAGCCAACTGTTGGTATTGATGGATAGGTTCTTGTTTGTCATTTCTAAAGGCCACGTTTTTCATCTGTGTAATCTGTCTTCAAACCAGTGTCAGGTGACCAGGAAATATGAAATGGCTTATTGGAAGGCTACTGAGATGGACAGGTATACCGTTCTTTACTCTGGCCCCTTAGAATCATGTTTTTTCTCTTCTTTGTAACATGCGTCTACTCATTAAAGCTTAGAAATTAGCCTTGGACACAAATAGCAGCCGTGTCCACCCTAAGCACAACCTTTCCCACTTTCACATCTTGTGTTAAAACGGCTACTAGTAGCCTGTGTTCTTAGTGTTGGCTGATCATCATATGCATGAGAAAAAAGAAAATCTTTAAAACTACAGCTATGATGGGTAGATGTGTTTTCTAATGAAGAAGATTACTGAATAAAGCTTGCTACCACCTTCAACAGAAGGGTTAATAAATTCCTTCCACAAAGGAATAATTGTTACCAGCTTTTGAACAGTTGCTATCAAGCTAAGCTAAACTGAAGGCCAGTTATGAACTATACCAGTTTGACATGTAAGAACTTTGAAGAGAGATAAACCTACTTGTGTTCCAGACTAACAGTCATTTCTTCCTAATGCTTTCCTCAAGTGGCAATGGAGTACAAATAAATTTTAAAAATGTTTGAAACTGAAAGCAATGGAATGTTTCATTCTGAGGAGATAAAGACCCGAGCAACTTTGGAAGGGCTGGGTGCTCTCATGATGGCAAAAATGCAGACTCTAGGTTTAATGGACATGTGAATAATAACTCCAGTTGCTTCGTTTGCCAGGAACAAGTGGGGCCTCTTCTGATTACAGTTGTTTCCTAGACTGGGGAATGAGGATTTTTCATTTTTTCTGGCCTTTTTCTTTCTTTTTTTCAGTCCGTGACAGGATGTGAAGTGTCACTCAGAATGAGTAGCAGTTTTGTTGTCTGCATTCATCTATCTGTCCCTATACGTGTGCAAGCATTTGTAACTGATGGGTAGATTAAAATTAAAACTTTTTTGGAGTACTGGGCTGGTCAACTATATATATATTTAAACAGTTCCTAGTAGGGCAGGTAATAGGTTAGGTTGCACGCATAGGAAGTGTAGCATCGTTATATATGGCCAAGGCTGCTGCGCCTGCCATTTCTTCTCTGCTGTTCTAGGTGTACTTGGACAAGCCAGTTTCAAGCTCTTGCAGGCTTTCCTGATTTGTATTTATGGCTTGTGCTTGCAGATGCAGGAGTGTCCCCAGAGCTGTGGCTTAGTCTGCATTTGAAACCTAGTCCTTGGATTTGGATTTTTTTGTTTGTTTGTGTGTGTGTGTGTGTGTGTGTGTGTGATACTGACTAGTGTCATTATTAACAATTTTGATGTCATGGTTCATTTGCCCAGTGCTTGCTAATTCTGTTAAAGCAGTTTTCTCGGATACTTAGGGATAGTCTGAATTTGTGGAGAAATAAATTACACCCTGAGAACTAAATAATACTAATAAATAATACAAGGAGCTCTTATGCCAATAGACAGTAAACATCTGTACTAGCATGCAGGGTAGAAAGTATGTATTATTACAGTTGAGCACAGCCACTTCACCAGGCTGTTTAATGCCTAGCTGTTTCACTTTGTTGTTGCTGACCTGCAACTGACACCCTGTTTGCTAGTGAAACCATATTAGCCTATGATTTCAGGAAAAAAAAGTAAGAGGTTATTTTTGTGTGTATTTATAACTCTACTAGATATATATACAGTTGGATGGAAAATTCTCTAAAGGTTTATGCAGACAGTATTACCAACCTGCAGTGTCAATTTTAACAAAGTCTTTGAATGTTGGCAGACTGTTTTTGTAATTTTATGACTGATATTGCTAAGTTGCTGAGTTTGTGATCAAAACCTCTTTAATACCACTTGTCTTAAATACTGATGTATTATCATTGTTTTTAATGTCATGTGATAGTGCGTATGGTTTGTGTTTTAGATGTAGCATCCAAATAGAAACATTCCTATCACAGCTGGAACTGTTTTAAGTGCAATTTATTGTTTTTGTGAAGGAGGAAGAGAAGACTTATTCCTACATATGTAATAAACTTTACATCTATTCTTTCTTTCACAGTTACAGGACTAATGGCTTCTCTAATTTCTCTTGACTGATGAACCAAATTTAAAAAGAAAAGAGGTAGTATGGCTGCCAACAGTGATCGATTACTACTTCTAGTTGAGTTCTGTAGAAAGTGTTTCAAACATGTCATTCACTTAAGTACTGTCACAGCTGCTGAGATTGGTGCTTGTATCTTAAGCATTACCCATCTTTGACGAGAGCTATAATTCAGCATTGGTTTGTGTTTCTGGGCTTTTAAGTCTTTTGGGACTCTCCAGTTGTAGATCTTTACCCCTTAACTTAAGGCTACAAAAGATGGATTTCCTCCATTTTTCTGGCTTTATATAGGTATATTGTCTTAGTCTACAAGATCTATTGATTCTTTTTGTAAAAGAGACTCCAAAATACATTCTGCTGAGAGTTACAACCCATCTCGTGATTTAAATGCATTCCTAGCCAACCTGACAGCACTAGGACAGATAATGCCTTCATCTCCCTTTGAGATCTAGACTTATTTCCTTGGTCAGGTATCCCAGATGCTGAAGTAGTAACACACAAAAGGGAAAAGTCACAGTCTGAAATAAAAATTATCCAGACTATCATTAGTTTCTTCATATGCCATCAGGAAAAGGTACAGAAGAAGGAATTGTTTTTATTATTATTTATAAAATTAGATCTTAATTTAGCTATTAGAGAAAAAGATACCAGCTAATACATTTCCATTACAGTCAGTCTGCACAAGGTAGGGGAAAATAAACAAAAAAACATGGCAATTTAAGAAAGACTATGTTTAAGACTTATACAAGGAAGATACACTACAGTGAACATACAGAGATAATCAAGTTGCATGTACATACCTACATGCAACATGGGAGGAGAAGGAAAAAAAACATTTTACAAAAATTCATTAAAACAATTTGATAGGAAGTTGTGTAACTATCTGCCACGTGAGTCAGTTTTAGCAACAGCACCATAGTTCATGATATAAAGCTTTCATATCGATAACAGTCTCAGACTTAAGATCTTCTGAAGTGGGCTTCAATCTGTTCCAGGGTCTGTCCTTTTGTTTCAGGTACATAAAAGGCTGTAAAAATCACACTGAGGCAGCAGAAGGCAGAGAAGAGCCAGAATGTGCCATAGGATATTAAAGCCTGAGGGAAGGGAAACAACAGCAAAATATTATGATAAATTGTTACTGTGCAACTACAGTCTGGGCCACCAGAGAAGACTGGCCCAGTGCTCTCTCAGAATCATCTTAAATAAATTTTCTTATGAAAAGAAATACTGGATTGTAATTTATGATGCTTACTATCAAATCATGAAATTCCTTAGTTACCAAGAATGCCATAACCCAGTTTGTTAACACACAGGCACCACTAGATATTCCCCTAGCTTTAAGTGGGAAAATTTCAGACATCACCAGCCATGGAACAGGACCCCAGCCAACAGCAAAACCTGAAATTACAAACAGAAGAGATTAAATGCAAGTTAAGTATATTTCAAAGGGAAAACTGAATGATGGTCAAGTTAGGCAAGTAACTCCACATTCTAGGCTGATTCTGCAAAAAAGTGCCTCTAGCAAAAGCCTGGAGTGTGGCCTACTATATGCTATTGCACTTTATGTCAAATTTCTTACAATAGTCTTAACAAGCAAAATTTCTTATTGAGAAGCTTCTGAAGCTACTTAAAAATTAACCTTGTTTCTTACTGCTGCTTCCTTGTACTGTCACAGAATTCAGTATGGCTCAGATACTACCAAAGACTCTTCGTTCCATTAATGACTACAGAGTAATTCAAACTGAGTGATTACTACTTAGTATTACAAGAAGGAGGTATAAATTGATTTTCCATGACATCAGCTTAATTACTTTACTGCTGGCTTGATCAGCAGGGTTATGAATTCCCAGCCTAATTTTGTCTCATACACTAAAAAGCTCTGTCAAACAGAACTCCATTTATCAATAATATGACAATATGGCACAAATTTGTCACATTCAACAGCAATTATGAGTGTCATGTAATGTCTGCTTAGAAGCTTGTTCCACTCACCAGCAACAAAGAGCCCTAGGCTTACTACTGCAAGCCAGGATAGGCTGTTTTCTGTTCCTGGGGATACTGAGTTTAGAGTGAAACACACATTAGCATTTGATGAGTTGTTCCCATGTGGAAGGACCATTTTAAAGTAAAGCCCAAATAATGCAGTACTGACAGCCATGATGATCCCTGAAAAGTAAGCAATAACCATGTTGTCACTGATCACTGCTTAAGTACTCTTCTTTCTGAGAGCCAAAACACAGGTGCTCAGCCAAATGCAAGATATGCTGGTCCTAGCAAAGTGTTTCTAAAAAGATAGTGTTCTTGGAAACAAACATTGGCTTAGATAAGAGTGAAAGATACCAGAAAATCATTCCATGCATTAGACAAACAAAAGTCCTTAAAAGCAGTCATTGCTATTGAGTGTACAATGCAACAACTATATCAAACAACTGGGGGGGTGGCATATTTATTTGTAAAGTTAAATTTCTTTAAACTACATGCAGCCTTGTGTAAGCAGCACAACACTCCGTGAATGTAGCTGCAGCTATGGAGAAGCTACTTGAAATGTCCACTTTTAGACACCTTAGGTAGCAGAAATTTGTATTGTGTCTTCATGACCTAGCTACTCCAAAGTATGATCTGGCCTGGTAAAATGACAAAAAGGATAGCCATACACAGGTTTAAGGGGCACCACCTACAATGAGTTCTGACAAACAATCAGAAATTGTGTCCAAAGAATACATTAGGTTAAATACCATACACTATAAACACTAGTATTAGGTTTTAGTTAGATATTAGGAAGAACTTCTTTACTGAAAGGGTTGTTAGGCATTGGAATAGCCTGCCGAGGTCTTTAAAAGATATTTAGATTTAGAGCTTAGTGATATGGTTTAGTGGAGGACTTGTTAGTGTTAGGTTAGAGGTTGGACTAGATGATCCTGGAGGTCTCTTCCAACCCAGGTGATACTGTGATATGGCTATGGCCAATCGAAGTCAAACAATCAGATTGTGTACATAAATTGTGTCGATTTCCTCTTATGAATTAAGAGTTTAAGTCCATAGTTAAATTATAAAGCAAACCACTTAAGATACATAAATTGTAACACTTAATTCCCCCAACAGTTACGAGACTTTCTGGTACTCTATATAGTTCTTTTTCTAACTGAAGTCAGTAGTATGTTTTACCAGACATGTAAAGCAGCACTTTCCGTCCAGTTTTATCTATGATAAGTGCGGCCACAGCAGTGAAACATACTTGTACAGCACCCACAACAACAGAAGCCATTCTGCTGTCCTGAAATAAAGTAAGAGGCCGGGAGAAGAATTTGCTTTTTCAGGCTGATAACAGGATCACTTATTAAGCATTAAAGATGCATTTGTTTCTTGACTCTGGAGGAAGAAAAGCTATCCCACAGAAATCAATGGGGAGGGGAGGGGGGGAGAGACAGAACCTTAAATAAATAAATAAATAAAAATGACAATGTCAAGATTAATTAACATAACATACTGGTCTCTTAATAAACTTTAAAACACGTCACAGCTTCTCACAAGAGTTTGACTTTCTCTGAAGCATTGGATTTGTAACTGTACTAAAAAAGTTATGAATTAAGATGACTATAACAAGAATTTCTATCAGTAGCAAAGTTTCACACACAACATACTTCCCCCCCAAAAAGTCACATTCAGATATGCCAGAGTAACATAGTCAAGAGGGTATCTATAACCCAAAACCCAAACTGTTATCTATGATGCAGGCAGGATCGGCGTCAAGTCAGTTTGCTACATTTTAGACTTACTCAGTACCTACTAAACTCAAACAACAGACATTTACCAATCTGGCAACACAAACTGATTACCTTGAAGTTTGCATCTTCAAAGATAATTTCTGCATAAAACATAACTGCATTAATGCCTGTTACTTGCTGAAGGAACATCAGAGCCATACCAATAAGAAGTGGCCTGTAGATTGAAGGATTCTTAAATTCATAGAGATTTAGTCCCTGTTAAAAAGATGAAGTAATGATTCCATGAAAAGTTCAATATTTTAAATTAGAGATCACCAACAAATGATGCATTTGGACAGGTGCAAGAGGAAGTGCTTTTATATAACACAAACAATAGGAAATCAGTGTTAGAGATGTTGAACAATCCAACAAAACTGCTAGAAAAAGAAAAACTAGATATCAATCAGAATAGATAATTACCAAGATCATGAGCTTGACTGCTACTCAGGCATACCAATGGCAGCCAACAGTGATAGTTGCAGCTGAAAGGTAGTGGAAAAAAAGGCTCTAAATCTCACTGATTCTTAAATTTTGTTTGTATGAGAAAACAGGTTTGGACTGATGTTTTTAGAAAAGGCTACTAGGCAAGCAACAGTAAAAAAAACCTTTTAATTACACTGTTTGCTTTCAGATAGTATTCAAAAAAAATTTAATGTAATCAGATTCTCATCACCTCCTCCTCAACATTAGCTTTGATCTGCCTACATTCCCATTCATGGTCCATATATGGTCCCCGCAGAAACTGTAAAGAAGCTATGGCTTCTGCATGTTTGTTCTGATTCAGCAGAAATCTTGGTGTTTCAGGCATGAAGGACATCAACAAAAGCATTATGCAGGGTGGAAAAGAACACAACACTGCCAGCCAGTGCCATTTCAGTGTTATTCCTGGTGAAAAAAAAAAAAAGAAAAGAAAAAAAGAAAGAAAAAAAAGAGACTGTGAACATTAGCTAGTTTCGATTCCTTAGTGTAGTTCTTTCATTACATGTACTAACTCTTTATTGTCATTTTAGACCCCTAACCCCAATACCTGCAATGTAGGCTCCAAGTATGCCAGTTACCACCATCAGCTGAACACAAGAGCCAAGCATACCACGGACTTTTGTATGAGATATTTCAGATATATATACCTAAAACAAGGAGAAAAATCTAATTACTTCTACCCAGTTTTGGATCAAGAATTTGAGAAGTAATTCATTTCTGAAATACAGACATACTTTCTAGTGACTCCCCTCTTTAAAAAAAAAAAAGCCTTAAGTAAAATGGCGTGAGTAGAAAAGTACTACCACAGAAATGCACATTGGCATTATGGAAAAAACATGGAGAAAGGGGAGGCCCTAAAACAGAAAAATGCTGATGTATCAGCATCCCACATATGACCAAACTTGCATTAGTAAGGGCTTCTTTTGTTAGCCATATCAACAACAAAAGCATTCTGGTGCTTGGGACAGTCTTGTATGAACACATGGCCCACATCACCTATAAAACTCTTTGCAAATGAAAGTTGAAAATTTTTCGTTCAACATAAAGACTGCGTATTTGGCATTCTCCATGAAGTCCTCAACTGACAGTCGCTCATCTTAACATACATGAACAGCAAACATATCTCCTCCAAAATTAGGGAACAACTTAAATTTTTTAGTTCGTTAAAAAAAAAAAAAAAACGCTGATCCTAAGTCAACAGCTACAGCTCACCAGTATACACAGAAACATAGAAGAGAAATCCCTCATGTTTACAGATGCATTTGTTTTTCCAAAGTTACAATTTTAAGTTTTTCAAGAAGAAAAATAAGTAATCCTTAGGTCAGGAATAGTTTACAGCTACAAAACCATGGTATTACAGATAACATTTTCCTCCCTCATCACTGCAGTCATATAGATCTTTTACTGTTGGCTGTGGATGAATGCCTTTGCAAACGGGAACTTAAAGCTTGGCTCCAGGAAACAAAGAGAAAGCAGTCGTTCATAAAGAAAACAGAGTTCTTTCATAGGCATTAGCACAGCAGATTGCATTCAGCAATGGAGAACGTTGTACAAGATTATAATTTAGATCCCACTGATTAAATATTTTTTTTGTTTGTTTGTTTTTATAACTATCCAGATTGGTAACTGAACATTTATTCTGCACTTCACGATGACTTCTTTCCCTTTCCCTTTTATTTTCAGTTTGCTTTTTACTTCAAAAGCAAGAAATGCTGGAACCACCAGAAAAGAAACAAGCTTGAATTCTGAAATTCTAGATAGCTTATTTCATACTGCCACTAGATCCAATAGGCAAATTATACAGAAATAAAGAAGACAACAAGAGAATGAATTCTTTCCATTAACCTAGTGCACGGATATTTCTGAATGCATGTGAAAAGTTAATGTTTCAAAGACAGCTGTTAAATGGAAGGAGTAGTCACTGCTTGGTATTGCGCTAGAATGAGTGAGTGAGCATAGTTAATTTGAAAACCTAAGAAGTTTGGTGAGGTACAAGACTATTAGAAGTAGATGGTAATAGCAAAAACAAGCAAACAAAAATCCAACTTCAAGAGATATAGCTACACAATATTAAAACAAACAGAAGCAATCAGATAGTAAGGACAGACTAAAAATCTGAAGGATCATATGACTGTACTAAGAATGCATAATGCAGAAGTGCTATTAGAATAAATAAAACATTTCTGTATTTTCTTCATGACTAAAAACATGCAAAAATATGATCCTGTAAAAATCAGTTTATTTTAAATCCACAGACTGAGGCTAGAGTTAGTGACTGCATCCAAGCAACTTATGATAACATTATGAAATAACAAACATTCTCCTAGAAAAGCTTTAAAAACAAATGAAACAAACAAACCACTCACCAACAGAAATAATGCCTTACTTACCGGAACAACAAGTGAAGTAATTCCGCTGGCTAAGCCAGTCAGTATTCGTCCAAAATAAAGCATCCAGACATTCTGAGCTGAAATAATAACTACATATCCAGAGACATACGGTATTGAGCACAGCATTAGACTCAGCTTTCTCCCAACTCTATCCACAAGATAGCCTCCCAGTATTCCTCCAGCAGCAGCTCCTAATGTTACTACAGACTTCAAAAAAAGAAGTTTAAAAATACGTATGCATATATTTATACATATATGCATATAAATAAAAACATTTTTGTTGTTTTTGTTTTTAAAGTAAATAGCAGCTTCTGAAAAAGAAAATTGTACAAGAGCATGCAGGTGTTTTGAAAACCAAAATAAACACTAAATTCCTAATCAAACCATAGCCAAGAAGCACTACTCACCACAACTGAGCAGCAAATAATTTTCAGATCACATACATGTACAAAGCTCTTTCAACGAAGAAAATAAAACAGCAGTAACCTTTGTAATCTGTCTACAAAGCCATCCATTCACAAACGGGCCTTCAAACTGTTTTAAAGCCCTGAAGAATATTATCTTGAATAACCTGAAGTCCAACCTGTACCAAAAGCAAATATTCCCTATGTTGACAGATTACACCTAATCTACTAAAGAGTTGATTTTCTGTGGTCCCCTGACAGGCTCAACTGAGAAAGCTGAGAATTCTCACAAGATTTTTTATCATCAAAAGTAAGTTCAAATAACATGGGCATTTACTAATATATGCTAATTGAGGGTCATCGCAGCACAACATCACCGTCATTCAGGAAAAGTCTGAATCAATCACTGATCTCACAAAAAAAAAAAAAAAAAAAAAAAAAACTCATTAACAAGATCCACATTTATCCTTGTTCTTAAGAGGAGTAAGACCCCCTCATGTAAACAGTGTCTTCTTTACCTACACTTTAAATTGAAATCACATAACAGTAACACTTCATCATACAGAAACTTACCCCAAACCATGATGCTTGACTGCTGTCTAATCTTAATGTAGGATCATTGATTTCCCTCAGCTCTGGTATAACAGGTGAGCTATAGCCTAGCACGAAGCCAAAGCTAAGTGGTCCTAAGACAGCAGCAAACGTGGCCAGGTACAGCTTCTTGTTTTGCACTCTGAGGCAGAAGAGACGGATGAGAAGGATCGCGCCGCCTCCAGCCCCTCTCACAAGGGCCGCTAATGCCCAGACGGGCCTGACAGAGGTCCCGACCCCGAGCTCGCATCCGTCACGTTCCCCGCCCCCCGCCCCGATACCGGCCGCAGACGATCTCCAGGGCAGTGAGCGCTGTCCCCGAGCCAGCCAAGGCGGCAGGGCCGCAGCGCCCGCGCTCACCTCTGGTAAGCGTCCGAAGCCGGGTAACCCAGCAGGTACCGCGACTCCTCTGCCGCCATGCCCCTACCGCGGGGAGCGCCTCGGCGCGGCCAGCCCTAAGCACTTCTGCACGAACCGGCCGCGCTACCGGGCAGGCACCGGCCCTCAGGACAACGCCGACCCCAGAGGGACACCGCGCCTCTTGCGAGCCCTAGTTCAGACGGAGGCGGCGGGAGTGCGGCAGCGGGGCGCGATGACGTTTGGAGGATGCGCCGGAAGCTGCCCGACTACGGAGAGCCGTGGGCTCCGGCCGAGTGCCTTCCCTCCGGGTGCCGGCCGGTTCGCCCGGCGCAGCTGCCACGGCGCGGGGCTCGCCTTCTCTCCGCGCCCTCTCCCCCCTCCCGGCCCCCCTCCCGCGTCGGGCGTGGCTGAGGCGCACAGCAGTATCCGAGGGCGGCCGCTCCCGCGGGTGCCTGCAGGTTGTGGTGCGGGCTGCGGAAGTGGCGGGAGCCTGTCCTTTGCTGCGGGAGCGATGGCTGCGGGGAAGCCCCAGTCCCTGGCGGGCCCTGGGGGACCGAGCGAGCCGTGGCGGCTGCCTGCCGAAGGACGCTCCGCGCCTGGCCGCTACCTGAGGTGAGCGGGAGTTGTTCAGGCGGCTGCTGGTGGCTACAGCTGCGCTAAAGGTCTCCGGTCCTCGCCGTGCTTTGCGTGTGGAGGGAAATGGGAACGGGTGGGGGAGCGGCGCGGTTGTCAGATATCGCCTAGGAAAGAGCCCTGTGCACGCAGCGCCGGTTCCGGGCCCTCGCGGCTGCTGTTGGTTTCAGCAGTAGCGTCATGTGCTGAATGCAACACACACCTTAGAGCTCACGTATTTTTTATCGTTAGGGAGACTGTTAGAAAACTGTTTGTTCTAAAAAGAACGTGTGCCTGTTATAGAGCAGCAGCAGCTACGCTTTCTGCCATACTTGCTGAGGAAAGCCCTTACGTGCTGTCAACAGTAACAGTGACTGCATGAACTTGTGACTCGACAGAAGCAGCTGATTTTGTGCATTTAATGCCCAGTGCCTTCCTGTGTTTTTATCAAGAATTGATACTTCTCTGCAGGCCACGTGCAGCTTCTCATAGTGAAGACTCTACTTTTCAGTGCTACTATGTCACGTTAAGAGGTGTTCTTTAAGGTTTTATTCTGTAAAGGTAAACAGAAATACATTTCTGTACGGAAATAAACATATTTGGCTCCCATTCAGATTCCTCAGTTTTTTGGATTTGGGAGCTTCTATTAATTAAATTTGGTTAGTTATCTAATGAGTGGAGTGAGTTCTTCCAAAGAAAATACATATAAATAAAGCTTTTTAACTGTTTGCCCGATGTTTCAAACATATTTTAGAAACCTGAGAATGCTACAGCATAGTATAAATGCTTACAGATCACAGAGTTTAAGAAGTACCATTTGAAGCCTTCGGTTTCATGGTTAATTCTGTTCATTGGAAATAAACTGGAAAATAGGGAAAAAATTAAAGAGGTCAGAGAGATACAAAAGATGACTAACATTCTTCAATACAATTCTCCAGACATATCTTTGTATCTTCTTTAAAAATAAAGCAGCTAACTTTTTTTTTTTTCTCTTTCCCATAAAGTAGTTCAGGACAAAAGTCTGAATAAATTCTGTCAGTAACTAGCTTCTTATCCCTCTGTATGTTTTGTTCTCTTCCCTTTTTGAGTTAAACCATGAGTAAACTGTAAGACAGTGTTTATTTGCTGTAGTAGGTTTAAAACTTGAATCAACCCTTACTGGATTCAGAACTTAAAAATGTTAACCTGTAACAAGAAAGATGTAAATATTCATAATGAACGCTAACATGCGCTTGCTCTGTACAGCTAACTTCTAAGTCTTATACAGGTCAGACAATAGTTCAAAGTTTGTGCAAATGCTCTTTACTAGCCTCATGAATATTTTATGTTTTGTTTGGTTACTTCAGTCTATGCTTTAACCAATGGAATACTGATGTACCAATAATAAAGATGTGATGCTTACCTTGCTTTCTGAATAGAACTAATACAGTATTTTGATGTATCACAGGTAAATTTTTCCATAACCTTATGGAGAAAAAGGACTTTGAAGCATGGCTTGATAACATTTCTATTACATTTCTTTCTCTGACGGACTTGCAGAAAAATGAAACTCTGGATCACCTGATTAGCTTGAGTGGAGCAGTCCAGCTCAGGCACCTCTCCAATAATCTAGAGATTCTTCTCAAGAGGGACTTCCTCAAACTCCTTCCATTGGAACTGAGTTTTTATCTGTTAAAATGGCTTGATCCTCAGACCTTACTCACATGTTGCCTCGTCTCTAAGCAATGGAATAAGGTTATAAGTGCCTGTACAGAGGTCTGGCAGACTGCATGTAAGAATTTGGGTTGGCAAATAGATGACTCTGTTCAGGATCCTCTACACTGGAAGAAGGTTTACCTAAAGGCTATTTCAAGGATGAAGCAGCTGAAGGACCATGAAGCCTTTGAGACATCATCTTTAATTGGACACAGTGCCAGAGTATATGCACTTTACTATAAAGACGGTCTTCTGTGCACAGGTAGGAAGTTCAGAAAACTTGTAGTCCTTTGTTATCTTCTACACAGCCTCATTTGAATAATTACAAGTTAATTTTCCTTGACCAGACAGGTTATTTTCATAGTGCTAACTCAGTTCAATGTGATTCAAAAATAAATTTATTTTGCGGTTTCTGAAGCTTCTGGATCTAGTAAACTCACTAGTCACTTTAATATTAAAAAAAAAAAAAAACACACACACACACAAAGACACCAATTTCTTTACCAGTCAAAAAAAAGATGGTATCATTGTTGCATATCATTCTTTGTATTAGCAAGCACATTTGAGAAGTACAGCTATGTTAGTTATCCTTTAGAAGATATGTTAGGTTAAAGGGACCTTGATTGGGCTGACTGTATGGTCACTGCAGTCTCTCAAGCTGTATGAGGCAAAGTGTCTTCCTTGTGACAATTTCTCTGATATATTCATAAGCACTTTCAGTTCTTAACATAATCTAAGCTCTTGTGTAAAGAACCATAAAGTAGATTTAACCTTGCTACTAATCTGACTTGCATATTGTATTGGTGGTTTCAGCTTCGTTCCTGAAGAGTGCAGACTTCAAGATTTCAGTTTGAACTCAGAAATACAGCCAGAACAAATATGAAACATTAAGTACAAAAGAATGGTAACTGCTGTCAGAGTATATTCCAAGGATTTCCCAATGACTTGAGATCACGGTATTATAGAATAAGTTAGAAATAGTGGCTAAGTACCCTCGCATCAGCTGGTACATTAGGATGTTTACTAGAAACTAGCAACTAGATGCTGGCCAGTCTTTCACTTTCCTAGTCAGCAGGGAAGGAAAATCCACACGAAGCAGCATTGTCAAATGTTACTGAAAAGTGGCACATTTATGTGCTGAAACTACAGGAGAATAAAAGAGAGAGAATGGTCTGGGCTCTTTTTCCTGCTCTCTAAAACCAGCAGACTTGAGTTATTGTTATAAGTTTATTTGCTTTTTTTAAAAAAAAAAAACATACAGAGAAAGAAATAAAAATGGCAGATGCGGGGATCTGGTATTCATCTGCTGTCTTTCCATCTTTCTCTATGGAGAGATTTGATGGACTCCTTTCCTACCTGAAACAAACTAAAACACAGTATAATCAGTGGCTCCCCAAACCTGAGCATGATCTATCTTATAAAGCTTCCAGGTGTGGGTGCTGGTATCTGTGGAAGGGAAAATGGAAGGCAGACATCTAGCAACATAATTAAGATGGTTAATTCTTTCCTGTGAGGAAAAGATGAGAGAGCTGGGACTATTTTCTCTGGAGAAGAGAAGGCCTGGGAGAATCCTAACAATATGCATAAATACCTAAATGGAGGGTAGAACCAGTTTCATCAAAGGTGCCCAGTGACAGGACAAGAGGCAGTCAGCAGAAACTGAAACACCAGAGGTTCCATCTGAACGTCAGGAAACCCTTGTGTTTTTTTTGTGTTTTTGTTTGTTTTGTTTTAGTTTGATTTTACTGTGCAGGTGATGGAGCACTGACACAGGTTGCCCAGAATGGTTGTAGAGTCTGCCTCCGTGGAGATACTCAAAAGCCATCTGGTCACGATCCTGGGCAACTGGCTCTACATGGCCCTGCTTGAGTCAGGGGGGTTGATCTCCGGAGGTCCATTCCAGCCTCAACTGTTCTGTGATTCTGTGAAAATACTATGTTTAAGACAGAAATGAAATACTAGTAAAGGCTTGAAAATTGTATATATTATTTGCTTGCAATTATCCTGATACTTTATATTCTAGGATCAGATGACTTGTCTGCAAAACTGTGGGATGTAAGCACAGGTCAGTGCATCTATGGGATCCAGACACACACTTGTGCTACGGTGAAGTTTGATGAACAAAAGCTTGTAACAGGATCTTTTGATAACACAGTAGCCTGTTGGGAGTGGAGCTCTGGGGCAAAGACACAGCATTTCAGAGGACACACTGGTGCAGGTATGTTGAACTTCCCAGTTTTTAATTTCACCAGTCAAGTAATGTACATCACATATAATAGAACACATTATAATTTAAGTTAGCTTTCTGTACAGTAGTGTATTGTTTTAAAGCTCTGTCCCTAATCACTTTTTGTGAGGGAAGTGGCCAGAACAGATCTAGATCTGTCCGTTCTTGGATAATGCCAAGGCATAGTAATATAGTTTTTTGCAGGAAAATAATACTAAGTGCAGTGGTGATGTAGTGCTCTAGAGTTCTGAATAAAAGAGGCAAACCATATATAACAGGGAGCACGTGTCAATAGGAGATCTTTATACCCCCAAACTGGAGATGGTCTTACAGGAGAGAGCACAATAGATCCTGGGAATCTCTATGTGCATTTCTGTCTTAATTATCTGTCCTCTACCACAAAATACCCTCAACTCAGCTGTAGGTCTGTTCTTGTATGACATACCAGTTGTACTAATCCTGCTGAAATTGACTTCTTAGAACTATTATCTTAGGAACTACGGTGATGTTACACTTCACTGTAATCCAGTCATAATAGAACCACTGATCTACATGCTTTTAATTTGAGCAAATGGTAGTTTTGTAGTGTACGTTTGGAGATGCACTGATAATTCATGTATACAGTTCAAGAACAACAGTTAAAACTGTAGTAGCTTATGCATTTTCACCCAGTTAGTGTCTCAGAAAAACACATGCACAGAGACTGGTATTCCTTATTTAAAACCCGCTCTGTTTGTAGTTTTTAGTGTGGATTACAATGATGAACTTGACATTCTGGTCAGTGGCTCTGCAGACTTCACTGTGAAAGTGTGGGCCTTATCAACAGGAACATGCCTGAATACCCTTACTGGACACACAGAATGGGTCACTAAGGTGGGAATATTGATTTTTTAAATAAAAACACTTGCAAAAGACTGCCTTGCGTGAAGTTTTTAGCATGTTCTGAATTTCTGTATCTTAATTGCAACCTTGTCCCTAAGTGCAGAACCTGAAAAATATCAAGAAATGTAGATAGTGCAAAACAACATTTTAAAAGAAAAAATACTTAAGCTGTAACTAAACCTTTCAGAACATTGAAGAGATTTCTGTTCCAAAGAAGCTGGAATACTACTAGGAATTGGTGTTCAATTCAAAGACCAAATGAATACAGTGGTTCTGAAAGAAAGCTACTCTAAAAATTATGTAGAAAAAGTAATGATCTTGATAACCAAAGTCTAAGCATGACAAGTGTTCTGAAGTTGAGAAACAGTATTTTCCTTGTGAGCATTTCAGAATTTGGAATGTGTGCTGGAGTGAGAATTATCTTAATGTATTAGTACAGTAAGTTCTCACTAGTAGGAGCAAAAAAAGTGTAAACAGCAGTTTCCCTTCAGTTGCTAAAAGTATCTGTATTGCCTTTAACAATCTCTGTAGCATACTCCTGTATAATGAAATGGAAAATACAAATGAATGCTTGGTTAACAGCATCAGAATAAGTCATTACATCCTTCAATTACAGGTAGTTTTGCAGAAGTGCAAAGTCAAATCTCTTATGCATAGTCCTGGGGATTATATTCTTCTAAGTGCAGATAAGTATGAAATCAAGGTATGTACCATATGTCACGAACACATCATTGTTCTTCCTAGGGAAATAGAATACTTGAGTGCTCTGCTGATTGACAATTAATATAGGACTTTTTCTCTCATAGTCCTTACTTGTAAAGTTGTGTTCAAGACAAGAAACTCTTTGGAAGCTAACTTTTCAATGCTTTCCATCATGTTTAGAATCAAATGGTAGCTTGACATGAATGGTAATTTAAAAAAATAAGTATTTTTTTCATGCCTAATGTGCTAATGTGACAGTGAAACACTTGGGGCAAATACTGCTGTTTAAAGAAAATAAAGAAGATAAGTATTTCTGAAAAACATTCATACATTCACCTGCTGTTTAACAAGAGACTGAGCCTATTTGAGTAATGGTTTATCACTTAAATGTTTTGTGGTCTTAACATGTTTTTTGCTTTTTAATTCTAGATTTGGCCTATTGGAAGGGAAATAAACTGCAAATGTTTGAAAACACTGTCTGTTTCTGAAGATCGCAGCATATCCCTGCAGCCCAGGCTGCACTTCGATGGTAAATACATAGTGTGCAGTTCAGCACTAGGATTATACCAGTGGGACTTTGCCAGCTATGATATTCTCAGGTAAATCTTTCGTCTTAAAATGTGTAGAACTTATTCCAGTGGTGTACTTTGAAGAAAATATAAAGTATTCTGTGAAAGTATTATATGAAACGTATTGGTTTTAATAACTTTCTTTAGATGTGTAAAGATTTTTTATCAAGATCCTTTTGAATTACATCTTTCTTCACACATATTCATAGAATCATCAAATGGCTTGGGTTGGAAGGGACCTTTAAGATCATCTAGTTCCAACCCCCATGCCATGGGCAGGGATGCCACCCACTAGATCAAGTTGCCCAGGGCCTCATCCAGCCTAGTCTGGAACACCTCCAGGGATGGGGCATCCACAACTTCTCTGGGCAACCAGTGCCTCACCACCCTCTGAGTGAAGAATTTCTTCCTAACCTTTAATCTAAATCTCCCCTCTTTTAATTTAAAGCCATTCCCCCTTGTCCTATCGTTACTAAACAAAGCGGGAATTTGTTCTCCATCTTTTTAAGTCCCCTTGAAGTACTTAAAGGTTGCAATAAGGTCACCCTGGAGCCTTCTCTTCTTTAGGCTGAACAGCCCCAGCTCTCTCAGCCTTTCTTCACAGGAGGGGTGCTCCAGCCCTCTGATCAGCTTTGTGGCCTTCCACTGGACCCATTCTAACAGATCCACATCCTTGTACTTGGCCTTCTGGGCTGCAAGCGCACGTTGCTGGCTCGTGTCAAGCTTTTTGTCCGCTAGAACTACCAAGTCCTCTGCAAGGCTGCTCTCAATGAGTTTTCCCAGTCTCATGTCTGGGATTTCCCTGACCCAGGTGCAGCACCTTGCACTTGGACTTGTTGAACCTCATGCGGCTCAAATGGGCCCACTTTTCTAGCTTGTCCAGGTCCCTTTGGATGGCATCCGTTCCCTCTTTGGTATCAACTGCACCACTCAACTTGGTGTCATTGCAAATTTGCAAAGGGTGTACTCGATCCTTCTGTCTATGTTGCTGATAAAGATATTAAACAGTACCAGTCCCAGGATAAACTCTTGAGGGACATCACTCATCAACAGACTCCACCCAGACATGGAGCCATTGACCACCACTCTCTGGGTGCGACCCTCAAGCCAATTCCTTATCCACTGAAAGGTCCACCTTTCAAATCTGTAGCTCTCCAAGCTGAAGATCAGGATGTCATGTGGGACCATGTCAAAGGCCTTACAGAAATCCAGGCAGATGACATCAGTTGGTTTTCCTTTGTCAACTGATGCAGTCGCTCCATCGTAGGAGGCCACCAGATTGGTCAGGCATGATTTATGCTTGGTGAAGCCATGCTGGGTCTCTTGGAATAACTCTTTGTCTTGCATGTGCCTTGACATTGCTTCCAGGAGGATCTTTTCCGTGATCCTCCCAGGCACAGAAGTGAGGCTCACCGGTCTGTAGTTCCCCGAGTCCTCTTTTTCTACCCTTTCTAAAAATGGGAGTGATGTTTCCTTTTTTCCAGTTACCAGGGACTTCACCTAACTTCCAGGACTTCAAATACGATGGAGGGAGGCTTGGCTTGGCTTGGTTTCATTCTGTTTGTATTGACCAGATTTTGTTGTAATTTATCACCTGTTAATACCAACCATTTGATTGCTGTTTTGCTTTCGGGCCACTAACTACTCCTCTTATTTTCAATACATGAGCTACAGATTTTCAAAATAGACTTAAATCAGACTTTATTGCTGTAGTTGTGAACATAAAACTAGTGACTAATGTTGCTACCCAAATTGCTCTGCAGCAAACCAGAAGGCCATTTCTGCAGGTCATTAGACAGTACAAGGTATTAAAAAGACACTTTTCCCTTATATAGGACTACTGAACTGAAATCTGTTATTCTCAATAACAGTGTGGAATGACAGTAAAATCAATGGGACTGCAAAAAAGGATCAAGTATTCTGTTTCAAAAAACAGAACGAGGTTCTGTCTGTTGGAAATGGTGTCATCAAAGATTGTAACTTATCAAAAAAGTGCATTCTAAAACTGTTAGCAGACTCAATTGAAATGTCACGAATATTGGAAGAGTACCTACTGTAGGAAGATCTACTTCAGGAGAGCTGCTTCTTCAAAAGAGAAAGATTTTCTCTCACTGCTGAGAACAGTTTTTCATCTCCATATGTTTTTGTGCCTTAGTTCTGTGCTTTATGTAATGCTATGATCAAACACTCAGTCAGCTGTGGAAAACATCCTCTTTAATTTTTGTTCAAGTTGTGTTTATTAAGGCAACAAAATCCCAAAGGTTTAGTGGAACTAATATATTCAGTTATTTCTCCCTAAAGTAAAAATATTTAACTTACATAAAGGGTCAGTAAAGCAACATTCTTGTAAGGACCAGTGCTGAATGATTTATTGTATTGTCACAAAAAGACCTTTCTGTGCTTTATTTCCAACTTTTGAAAGAGTGGTCAAAAGAATAGTATGAGACCTTGTACCTTTTTATAGACATTTAGGTGTGAAATCCCTATGAAAATTTTCTGTAAAATACAAGTACATCTGCTCTTGTGTGTATATCTGGAAATTGACTTCTTTTTTCTTCTGCTGTGCAGAATCCCTTTCAAACCTTAACATTTATTTATCTTTAGAAGTGTCTGTCCTGAATGCAGAAAGCCTACACTGAAACCACAGGCCTGACTTGAGTGCTCACTTCCTTGATTTGAAAAATTTTCATCTAGTTCTTCTTGAATAATTTAGAAAAGATGAGTTTAGATACTTCCTCTCTGTAGACACATAAGAATTTGTTTTAATAATGCTGGTTCATGACTGTGTAGTGACAGAGTTTCTAACAACACTTTTATCTTCCAGGGTTATCAAGCCTCCTGACTTCTCAAACGTGTCCTTGCTGGGCTTTGGAGAGATATTTGCTCTACTATTTGATAACAGATACCTGTATATAATGGACTTGAGGACAGAAAAATTGATAAGCCGCTGGCCTCTACCGGAGTACAGAAAATCAAAGAGAGGTTCAAGTTTTTTAGCTGGTGAAATGTCTTGGTTAAATGGATTAAATGGCCAAAATGATATGGGCTTGGTTTTTGCCACCAGTATGCCAGACCACAGTATCCATTTGGTGTTATGGAAAGAACATGGCTGAAAAGATCACGTATGCAGATTCTTCAGGACTATCAGCAGTGTGTCCATAAAATGAAACTTTGCATGAACCAAAGTTGCACACCTAGTGGTATCACCATGCAGTGCACAATCATTTACTTTTGTTTGGGCATTTGGGAATGAGTTGTTTTTGACATAATGCAACACAGCATGCTAACAGTATTCGCCACTAAATTTGTCTTTTACTCATGTTTAAGCATACCTTTATGGGCTCTGAAGCATAGCTTGTAATGTTTAAACCATTCAAATCCACCATTAAGTCTAAAATGAAATAATGCTTGTACCTGACTTCTGCCCTGTTTTTTTTTGTTTTTTTTTTTTGGCTGTTGGAACAGAAGGTGGATGAAGCTACTATTTTAGAGTAGACTTTTGTGTTTGTTTATTTTTTATATATATATATGTATCAGCAAATACTGGTTACAGTGCATGGCTGCTTTTTTAACTTGAATGCGAACATGGACCCTTTCTCTCCCTAGTACTGATTTTTGTCAAAATGTTTTTTTCCTTGAGATAGCTTTAAGCACCTATCTTTGACATTGGGAATCAACACAGTCCTTTAACTAGGGTCAGATGCTAACAATAATAATTTAAGCTCAGGAATATGTCGATGTGAGCTTTCCTCAGACAGAATGAACCAACTTTTCATCTATCTGATAGAGCTTGCCACAGCAATTAACCTTAGAGAACATCTGACAGTATTATCATATTTACTGGTGGTTTTCTCACTCAGAATGATTTGATCAGTATTTTATAGTTCACGTTTCCTATGGCTTGTGTGAGAATGTAATTTAGTTTGCAGATAGTTAGAAATTAAATGAATCAGAAGATGGTGTTCAATGCGTACACCAAGAATCACACTTATATCAATTGATGTCTAGCAGCCATACACTTTTCCCAGAAAGTTGAAGTTAATATAATTACACACTTAAAGTAGTTGTTGCATCTAGATTTAGAAAACAGGGGCATATGTGAACGGTACATCTCTGAAAAGAAAAAAAAAATCAAAATTTTGGAAAAAAAAAAAAAAACAAGCATAGGAGTGGAAAAACATCTACTTTGATCAGCTGTAAGAGACCTGATAAACAGATGAGTTAACTATCGAGTAGCAATACTCAACATATTTTTGTGGTGTATGACTTGTACTTAAAAGCTGTATCAATGACATCTCAACTCCCGTGCTTTAGAAGTACTTTGAGGTGGTTTCTTTGTTTTGTTTTTGTTTTCCTTACAATAAAATCTCCCCTTAGTGTCTATTTTTACACAAGCTGAAAACAGGTGTTTTCATGAAGATTGGCTCAGGTCCCTGAAAAGATGAATTTGCCTAGCACTAGTATTTTAAGTGTGATGTTTTTTCTTTCCAGTATTTACCTGTGGAGACATAGTTCCTTGTGTAGTAATGAACAAAGGTATATAGTATGAATTGCAGCAACGGAAGAAGAATTTTTATAGGCAAGAATCAATACTGGAATGACGTGGTAGGAATTGCATGAATTCATGGTGGAGCAGCATCTCTTGAATACAAGGCTGGAGTCTTTACCCAGTTTTCCACCTTTATTCATGCCAATTTACTTTGAAATTAGGCTTGTAGTTAAGGATTTTACCAGGTAGAAGCCAAATTCACAGCACTTTATTTAAACAATGCCAAGTGGGGCACATGTGATGATCTCTTACAGCTTTTGCTATCTCACTCAAAAGTGAAAAACAAAACCAGCATCAAAGAGAGAGCTTGCAATAACCTGTCTGGAAATGCAGGTCTCATTATTCCTAAGGTGAGCGTAACTATGCTGTGTGTTGATGTGTGCAGTAACTCATGTTAAACAAGCTGTGTGAAGATGGGACATGTATAAAACATTGCATTAACCTTGAAAGTTTAATTAAGATTCCTTCACAGGAGTTTAGGCAGGAACATGCCAAAAATGCCATTCTACTCAAGTTGATGAAATGTGAATTGAATATTTGGACTGCAAGATGAATGAAAAGCTTGAAGAGTGGTCATTAGCGATATGAAATCCAACTGCTATCCAGTTAATAGTATTCTTCAAGGGACAGAATTGGTTATTTTTTTTTTATTAGTGGCCCTGATGATGCAGAGTGCCTTCTCAGCATGTTTATAACAATTCTAAATGGGAGGTGCAAGGTGGGAACCCAGAGGAAGGGGAAGAGTCAATATGCAAGGGAATGGGGAATGCTGTTCTGAGGGACAAACTGACTGGACAAATGGGCTGGCAGAAGTCTTGGGTTTAACCAAAGCAAATGCACTATTCTGCATCTGAGAGTCATCCTACACAAAGGGATAGCTGGAGACAACTCAATGGCTTTACAGGAATGGACCCGGGGGTGCTATTGTACAGCAAATTGAACATTAATCAGTAGTATGCCCTTATGACACAGAAGGCCAACTGTACACTAACATTCTACCAAGTACATAGCTGGTAGTTCAAGGGAAGAGATTCTTAACTTATGTTCAACATTCAAGAGAACATCTGCAACCACATTCAGTGTTGAGTTCTCCATTACAAAATAGACAATTATGCACTGGAACAGGTCCAGTGAGAGGCTGCAGAGATGGACAGCGAGCTGAAGCACAAGATGTCTGAAAACCTGTGAAAACTGAATTCAACCTTCCAGACAGAATACGTGAGAAGGGAGGGCTGGGGGTGGAAAAGTTGGTATGAACTATTACAGTCACCAGCTATCTGTTAACATGGTGTAGAGAAGACAAAATCAGACATTCCAGCATCTTGCAGCAAGATAAGGGCCAATGGTCACAAACTGTGCAATAAGAGTTCTGGCTAGCTTTAATGAAAATATGCTCTCCACTGTGAGGGCAGTTTAACACTACAACAGGTAGCCCAGAGAGGTTGTGTGTTTAGCTAACCTAAACAAAAACCCGAAGAACACCTGCTTCCTTACCCTCCTTTGAGCAGGGAGTTGGAATGGAGACTTCCAGCTGACCCTTCTAAATTATGAATCCATAATTCTCAATGGACCTCTTGCCAAGCACTAAATTCTTCTCAGCATTGTGCCAGAGTGTGCAAGCAGAAATGTATGACAGGCAGCATCCAGTACAGAGTATACTGCTGTTCTACCCTTTTAGTTTTACTAGAAAGAGAGAGAGAGAGAAAAAAAAACAAAACTTTTAGCCTATACAAGGCAGCTGATGTTTATTTTAAACATAATTAGCAAGCAGGCATTTACTTACACTCTGACTCTTGAAGGCTTCCAAGTAAAAGTTCCACCCGAACCTAAGCAACTCATGACAGAGCTCCTTCAGAGGTATGTGCAACCATAAAACTGATGAAAGAATTAAAATATGATTTTGGCATAGAAGATAAATAAATGAAAGCCTACTCCCACACATATCTCCTGCTCTCTCTCACATCAGACTAATACTTCTGCCCCTTCACAGGAAAGTTCCAGGATATTGCCAGATCAGTAGCTGTAGTACAATGAGCTTACCGGGGTTTAGCAAAAATGAAAAATGACTGAAATTGTAAAAGTACAGTGAGCATATATTTTTTTTCTCCTTCCTATCTGACCATTCAATAGAAATGAATGATACATTTTACTTTTTTTTTTTTTCCTTTTTAGATAGGGATTGGGGGGAAAAAAAGTGTCTTCTCTACCTTTATACCAACATAAGGCAGGAACACAAAAAAACTCACCCCACCACATAAAATAGCAAAATCATCTGCTAATTTTGCTGAACAAAGAAACAGTTTGTTAAGAGGCTTTAAGGTGCTGGGAAAAGAACAAAAAAACGATCACATACCAAAGTTATCATGTATCATAAGCGGTCCTTTTTCCCTTCAATTATTCTGACGAAATAGTCTTCAGTTCACAGACACCTATTTTTTTCATCAACATCAGGCTATATACCTTCCCTCTGTTTTAAAGCTCTCCAACGAGACACAGCACATTCTTACTAACTCATAAAAGCTCTGGGTAGCAAAAATGGACTTCTTAAAGTTACAGGTCACACAAAAAAAAAAAAAAAAAAAAAAACCAGTCAAAGAGCTTTTTGACTTAGCATAACTCCAACTATGTTTAGTATTGCAATATATTAACACTTTAACAAAACCTATTCTATTTCCAATAATACTTTTTGAAATTATTACCAAAACCTCCCTTCCCCTCCACCCCCCCATTACTGAAACAGGTAATTTCTGCTTGGTTATTTTTCACAATGCATTTTCTTATATAACGTGGTGCATAAAAACGTGGTGCAAATCATGACATAGGAACTGCAAGAATTAAGCGTTAGTTTTACTGCTAAACACTGTAGTTACTTTTTTTGTACGTAGGTAAAAAAAAAATGCAAATGGATCATAACATTATTTAAATCAGTTGAGAGAGACTATTTTATTCTTTTTAGTTTAAAGCAAACTCATATTTTTTTCCAGAAGAGGTAATACCATCTGTATTGATCCTTGCACTCATTAAATGGCTTATGGTTTTGCTAAAAGTTCCTGTTTCCCTTAAAAAGCGACTCATTTAATAGGTGACAATTCTAGTGCTGTAGCTGATATGTTTTCTCATCCTGTCTGAGATTTTTAATGAACTGCAGTGTTAATTTCAATGTAGCTATTCATCTGGCAGATGTTGTCCCATGCTATTACTTAATAAGCATTGCTAAATACAGATGTATTTTTTTAATCCACCCAGTTCTTCAGAGATACAAAGAGCCAAACATCCATTCATTCTTCAGGCAGGTTTCTTGTACATGGTAACACATATAGGAAGGTGACAAAAGAAAAAGAAAGCTGGAAATCAGTATTTATTCTAATTTCTGCATGTTCATTTCCTATGCATTTAATAATATCCTTTTATAGTTAGGGACAGGTAAAAGCACTCATCTCACTACGCCTCAGCTCTTCCATCTAAGAAGGTTGCAGCACAGACTTCATCTGAGGAACCCAACTCTTCATCAGCACTCAGCCAATTTTTACAAGGTACCATATCTCATTTCACAGCTAAAATGCATTTACGTTTGGATGGTACATAAAAGGGCTGTTCTCCCAAAGATTGTACAAAGATTACAGGATGTAATCTTCAGGTGCAAGAGATTTTTAATGTGATCTCTGAATGATATCCAGTGCCTCCCTGACACACAGACAACTCTCCACTTTTCCTCCTTACAAAGTTTCGCTTTTGAGCTTACAGGACTGCTTGACGTAGCACTTTGTTAACATTCATGATTAATGATGAGTTATATTTCCACAGTGACGTATCCCTGATGAGGGATTCTTTAGGAAGGTTCCCTTGAAGGGGTACCCGACAGTGATAAATGAGGGCCACATCCATTGGAACATTCACACTGGTCCCATAAGCGCGTAGGACAGAGTGGACGGAAGTCTGAAACACCCTTCTTGGATCAATTATCATTTTTTTGGGATTGATCACCTCCTTCCTGTCAGGTTCTCTGTGCACATGCTGTAGTATGTTAACACCTGGCACGGTATTCCAAGACGAAATGTTGAACACAGGAGTCGATATGGTTTCTGGGAAGATATGGTTCTCAAAGAGAAAAATGCCAGTCCCTGGATTTTGCTCCTGAAGACTGCTCATCATCGTTTTCCAGTCTGGATGCTTAAGGGGAAGAATTATTTCATCAGCATCATTAAGAACCACAAACCTGCTCCTCTGCATGTTACGGTATATACAGTCATTTAGAGCTGTGATTTGTCCATAGTAGCCGATGTGTGTTCCATCCTGCATGAAGTGCCATTTAGAGGACACCTTGAGGTATGAGTTTATTGGCCAAGGAATGATCTCCACAGTTCCTTCTTTCATATAAAACTTCAAGACTTTCTCCATCAGCTGGCTGCAGCTGTTCTTATAGACTACAACTTTCTGTACCCCAAGAATCTTGTACATTTCCATACTTTGTATAAACTGTAAGACATTGTTGTAATTTCCAAACATGGCAGAGATGCATACAGTGAAGTCAACAGAGAAGGTCTCAGCCTTGCGGTTTTTAATTTCAAACCTTGGTAGCTGGTCAATATTTCCATGCGGAGACTGATGAATTGATACATGTGTTGGATCGCAGTTTTCAGGTTCCACACAAACTATATCTGCTGCACCATAAGGGAATCCAAATCTATCTGAGTGAACATCAATTTTTGCTTTTGATACATATATCTTTCCATGGGGCTGGCAGCAAAACCAGCAGTAAAGTTCTTTTACATCTTCATGGTGAACAATCCCAATCACGCGAGTGACTTTGCCTTCTCTGTCATCAAAGTATGGGGATATAATAAAAGTTCTGTTATCCTTTAATGGCGTTATTGTTTTATTTGCAATTTCCCCTCTACATCTTCTACCTTCCTGTATTATTTTTGGCAGGTGAGCAAGTCTCTGTAATCTAATATATGAAAATGTGACCATTGAAGTTAGAGTAATAATGCACACAGTGGCAGCAAAGTATGATTTTTTCCCACCACAAAACATTTTGAATGTATCTAAATGTAGATGCAAATTTCTTTGTCCTTGCAGTTTATGCTGCTGTATCTGCAGGAAAGAAAATATTTAGAATAAGATAATATTGACTCATGTTCATTGCTGAAGAATTTTGGAAACAATATTGGGGAGGGGGACAAATCTCTGTCACTGTGCAGAAGAAAAAACAAAAAAAAAAAAACTTTAAATGAATGGCTGGTACTGTCTGTGACACTCTGAATGCACCTATATTTCAGATGTTTGGAATAATTTTTGTTAATGCAGGGTTTTTTGGGTACCAGATGTGAAAAAATATGATAGAGGTGTATATATTGGAGAACAGGGAGCCATTATGCATTATTTTTTCATAAAGAATATTTTTAGAACATTAAATAGTACATAATTTTTAAAGCAAAAAAAAAAAAAATCTACGTAGTATACATGCAGATGACACACAAACTGAACTCAGTTGGCCTTCTCACAAAGTAAGGGGCAGACATATAAATGAAATATATGCAGAATTGATCAGAGAATAAATATATCAATCAGGGATTATTACACATGATGGTCCATATATAGTCTATAATGTGTAAATTCCCTAACTTGTGTTTCACCACAAATGAGGCAATACATACAGAGGAAGGTCAGTTTGTACAATTTATCAGAAGACAAGCGAATGTATAGCTGGGGGGTGAAAAAAATCTTAGCTTCTCAGTTACCAGCTCTACACTACTTAGCACTGCACAAGGCAGAGCTTGCAGGGAAGGCTGCCTCATATTATTACTATTACCAGAGATCTGTGTCTTCTGACACTGCATTAATGCTGGTACTGCTCCTAGCATGGCTGGGGAGGGGTCAGCTCTTGATCTTCTGCTGCTACAGGGACAGATGCATCTCTGAGCATCTAGCTGGCCAAAGTCTCTTGCAGCACTCTACTGTGAGCAAGTGTTAACATATGACTGGCAGCCCATGGCACTCTCAATCAGTAATTTCTGCAAATGGAGCTAAAATTACATTTTTCCTTATAAATTTACCTTTAGCCATCCAGATGCGATCCACAAATAGTAAGGTGACGGCAAGTCTCTTCAAAGGCCTGCTTGTGCTGCAATGATTCTTCGAAGAAGCATGACACAGATTAATCATATTAATGTTAGGCCAGAAAACTAGACTGGTAGAAAAAAAATATCCCTGAATTCCAGCAAGAAGAGTGGGATAAAATGCCAAGATAGAATAAACCAATCCTATTGCATAAGACGAAGAAAATGTATCTACAGGCCCAGTTATTACTGCAAAAAGCTAGCTGTTCATAAGCAAACAAACAAATAAATAAAAGAGACAGATTTCCATGTGTATTATTTATAGAAAAAATAAGTACCAATGCCATAGGTTTAGTAGATATTAGAAGACTCTCCTACTTCTTATCCTTCCATTTTCTTCTCAAGGATCTTAATAAAAATCACTTGCATTTTTGGAGGGATCTGGCATCTTCTGAAAGTGCTAGATCTCTAACAATACTTTTTCCATAGCATATTACTCAGTCTATTGTAAAATAATAATTACACCTATTATTTCACACTTTTTTTTTCACATTTCACATATTGCCTAGATCTATTTTGAGAGCATCTAGTTCAATATTATTTTATGATGGAACAAAATACTATCATGTTTAAAGAAATGCAAAAAAGAGAACTAGAAAGTACCTAAACACATAAATTCATAGTTTTGATCCAGTTACCACACTCAGCAACTTCACAGCTTTGGAAGTCCCTAAATGCTCTAGCAACTTTACTGTTTGGCTTGAAAAATTCCCCTATGGTCTGTTTTTCTGCTTAAAGACAGTGCTTTCTAGACAGAGGGGGAAAAAATAAATAATAATAATAATAAAAATCTAGCTTCTTAGTATAGCAATCTAGCTTCTGTGTCTCCAAGGAAAAAAATAATTGCCCAAGCCTTCAGAATTGTGTGCAGAATTTTCCCAATTGTCCTTTCCTCAAAAAGCACGGGAGAGATGTATTCACAATAAAAACCTTAAAGTGCCCGATTTGCCAAGGCTGGTATTTTTTATATTATACTTTTATAGCTATCAAGAAACTTCTTTGCAGAGCAGAACTGTCACAGGGCATCAAAAAGCTCACTGTCTTTCACTACTCAGAAAGCAGAACAGCAGCAGCAGACCATACTGACAATACTGACTCCGTTCTGAATATGAGGTGGAGAATCCCCCATGGAAGTCCTTATAATTTAGAGCAGAACTGCAATTAAATACATGATTAAGAGCCTGCTACAGTTATGCAATTCAGTGATGAAGATTTGTGATTGAGAAAAACTCAAATTTGATGTGTCTCTTTATCAAACATTTTGAAAACAGCCAAGAAATTTCCCTGAAGCATTTAGTGTTCTTATTCCCAAACTGTTATATGCTTTAGCAGCCTTACAACACAGTTTGTCTTTCTGTCAATCTTATTTATTTCTTAAAATATTGTTCACTCTTATAGGCTAATTAGTTTTTAATAAATATCCCAACATATCATCATTAAAAGTATAGAAGCCGTTTATTACCTGTTATTTCTTCTTCTTTTGCTGACTATAAATGGACAACAAAAAGTTATCGTTTCAATTTTGTTTTGAATAGTGAACATCTGAAAGAAAAAGTACCTTTTAAAGCAGACACCTGAGTGAAGTTTTGTTCTGCTCAACAACTGATTTTTTTTTTTTGCTAAAATGTATCTACTAATTGTTTATTCTCATCAGATAAAAGCACTTTTTTTTTTTTTTTAAGATAATCTGCAAGAAATGTTCTATACAGAACAATACTGAGGAGAAGAAAAAGTTGGTACAATACCTAAGACACATGCCAACACATTCTACTTCAAATGACTAGTGTTCTTTAATGTGCATAATAGTGGCCACACCTACCAGAAAAACAAGTTTTCCTTCTCTTGAGCAAAGCATACAGTTGCTTCCCAAGAACTTATTTTACATTACAAACTTGAATATGGAGTTGTCCAAGCAAATCAAACCTAGGCACATAGGTATTTTAAAGCCAATTGGTTTTCTTATGGAAATTAATCATGCATGTTGATATATCTGTGGTTCGCATGCATACTTAAAGAGAGCTTTAAAAATATACTCTATAATTGGTTTTGTTTGATTTTTTTTCAGTAATGTACATTTTTTTCAGTAAAGTACTATAGGCTTAATTAAGATAGGCAAAAACAGATTCAGATGACAAAGTGTGAGAGAGATCTGAAACAACAGCAGTTTCTAGAAGCAGACACAAAGAGCAAAATATAAAAGTCAAGACACACCAGAGAACTGAATCTTAAAGAAAATAAATATTTAGGAGTTAAATTCACAGTTTTCCTGATATGTGACTCATGAATTTTTACCTCCTGAGATTAATAGAACAGAAATCTAGTCAGGAAATACATGAAGTCAGATTAATGAGGAAATGTGCATTTTTTATATTCTCTCACTACTGAGAGCACATGGTAAATTTTAACTTCAAAAATATGTATCCAGAGTATTTTAAAGAGCTTGTTTTCTTTTAATAATAATAATTAATTCATTTTTTTACTTTAATTCCAATTAGTATTCAAGTAGAATATGATACAAATCATACAGATTTGCTTTAATACTAAATTAAGCTAATGGTATCAATGACTACTTCACACTAAATTGTTCTTTTTCAGTATTCCCATTAAGAGCAAAAAGCCTTTCTTCCTCCCTACATTTATGGACTGCAGTCATATCCCCTCCTAATCTACACTTTTAACACTTTTTTCATTAAATAAGGCAGGATGTTCTAGTTTCTTCTTATAAGAAGCATTCTTCCCTGATCAGTTGCTTTTGCACAGTTGGTCCAGTTTCAGTTCCTCTCTAGCACAGGTGATCAGAAATACATTTGTAAATGAGAGTTGCAAGCCCTCACATACTGGATATATTCTTTCTTAATATGTGCTAAGACTACTTTTTTTTTTTTGCACACACATCACATTGGACTGATACATCTGAGCTTGTCATGACTCAGTTTTCCAGCCAACTGCAGTTACACAACATGCTTTCTTCTGCTGCAAAGTTGTAATAAAGA